CATCAATTCTCCCCAGAGAAATCCCCGGGGAGTCCCCCAAATAAAAAGTCCCCGGGGACTCACGACAGGGACTCCCCAGGGATTTCGTTATTTTACGGGGACTCCCCGGGGAATCGTTGGGGGAGAGTCGATTAGGGCGTGGTATAGAGTGTCTAGTAAATCCTTAATCAAAGAAACCTTCCACGCGTTCATCCACCAGATAACTGGGTGTGGATGTAGGTAGAGTCAAGATATTCAGTATATCAACCAACCACACCCTTAAGATCCTACCCAATTCCGACTGAATCAGGAGGTCGAAATGAACGACTTTTGTGATATAATATAATATACTATTGCAAAAAGAAGTATGCTTCTTTTTTTCTACTATTGTCATCAACCTTTAACACGTCACATGCATTCTATTATAATGCAAAAATCTTTTGTCCTTTACAAATACTTATCTCACTTACTTTTTTCCTTTCGTGTTGCTGCACGTCATATTATGATACGAACATACAGAAGCAGATACAACAGAAAGAAAACAATATTGAAAACAATTATATCTTGCTAGCCGTCTAGTTGATTTTGCATGATGACTACCAGTTCTAATGGAATACATGCTGAGTCACAATCCACTGTTTATGTACTATATCGTCGGCGATTTTATATTCTCGGTGTTTTCTCCTTTCTTTCTTTCAATCAGTGCTCATTTTGGCTCACATTTTCTCCCGTTTCGCCTAGTGCACAATCCTACTACAACATTTCTTCATCCACCGTTGATCTTCTCCTCAATTGGGGACCCATTATATTCATACCCTGTCTTCCTCTTGCCTATATTCTTCTTAATACACGGAATGGTCTCCGGCGCACTGTCATTTGTATAGCTGTTGCCTGTTTTATAGCTACTCTACTTCGAGTGATACCTTCGATAGTTGTTTCTCATTCAAATCCCCATTTCAAAACCATCGCTCTATCCTTCTTTCATGCTGGCCAAATTATCAATGCTGCATGTGGTCCACTTGTGATGATGCCCGTTTCTCAATTGTCATGTTTATGGTTCGGTCCTAACGAGAGAGCACGAGCTACTACATTCGCTATCATGGCAAATGTATTCGGCTCGACTGTCAGTTTCGTTATTAATCCATGGATCGTGTCTAGGCCGTCGAACTTACCATACTTGCTCTATTTTCATCTTGGTCTAGCACTTGTGGCTGGCATTCTTACTTTAGCATACTTTCCTGCTCAGCCACCCAAGCCACCATCGCATGCAGCTGAAGTACTTATGAACGTAGAAAATAACAATTCTGATTCAGGATTCAAAGTTTACATGAAAGGTCTCCGACAATGTATCATGAATCCTTCATTTGTTCTACTTGCAATAGTCGGTGGTGTAATGACTGGAACATTTAGTGTGTGGACATCATTGTTTTCTACAATTCTTGCTCCTGAAAATTATAGTGAGCAACAAGCCGGTAAGTTTATAAGGGTGTGTAGTAGGAGTGATTGTCCATGCTAGAAGTTATTCTCTGAAATATTGGGCTCATGTACAACCTTCTTATTTAGAAATAAAACCAATAATATAATGTAATGCAACCACCGTAAAGCCTCCTACACAATAACCAGTTGAGAAACATTAGCAGTATCTGAACATTTTTATTATATTAAGAATCGCATGAGTACACTAGTATAATCATTGACGTATACCAGCATTCATTAAGGATCAGATCAGTTCAATAAAACATAACTAGTCGTGAATATTAGCGTCCGCCAGTGCGAAAGATTCTTCAATTTAACTTTCTATTAGGTTGGTTTGGTTTTGCCTCATCATTAGCAAGCATTGTTGGCGGGTTTTGCTTAGGTGCGCTGGCTGATTCGTCTCGTTTTCGACGTTCACTCAAAATGTTGATCATTATTGTGTTGATAGCCTGCTTCATCCCGATCGTTTGGTTTCAACTGTCCGTTCGTAGTGTTTTTTATGATGCACATGTTCTTAGTTCGACACAATACACTATCGGAATTGCTGCCACTCTTGTTGGCTTATTTCAAGGAGCTGCAGCACCATTGGTCTATGAGAGCCTAGCTGAGATCACGTATCCTCTTCCGGAATCTCTGTCCGCCTCTGTTCTCGTTCAATTGAACAATGTGACTTTTCTTACTCTTCTCTTTGCTGTCTCCGGACGATACAAAATAATGAACTTGCTTGTTGTCATTGCCATTGGACTATCTATTGTGATGGCTGCTTTGGCTCGTGTCTCGTACAAACGACGAGACGAAGATGAGAGAAAGAAGAGAGAAGGCAATGATACTATGCAATTAAATAGTACTATTTCTACTACCAATTAATTACATTATTGACATTTGATTGTGGATGATTTTAATCTTTTCGTTCACCTTCCCATTTACTTCTATTTGAATTAATTTGTCTATTCTATTTGAAAGTCAAAGCGTGTCTTCTCAGCAACGTTACTCTAATATTATACTTATATTTCATGTGTCAGTATATTTTTAGAAAATTACAAAGTGCTGAAAATTGAAATAAATATAACATATTATAAATTCTTTTGCACATGACGAATTCGCTAAACTTCATCAAATGACATAGGTACAATACATTTCAGATTATTGGAAGAACTTACTTTGTAAGCAACCAACACTCGCACCCTAGCTCTGTTTGTGGATGAATATGACTAAATGTGTACGTATGTGATCCCTGCTCTTGTTTAACACAATGATTCATTCACTGCTTCGAAGAACAGGTCTTTAGTCGTGGATTTGGTTCTTACTTGAGGTGTATACTTTCTGTTCTTGCAACAATTCGTAATGACTTTCGCAAACGCTTGTTTAAGAAATTTTTTCAGCATATGCAGCTGTATCCTACACATCGCATCTACTTTTAAAACGTTCGATAATGAAATAATTCTTAGAGTAGGTATTGCATGTTAATTAAAGCATAAATATTTTTCTGTTGGTTTATCGTAAGTGAAAAGAGATATGAGAAAAGAAAACAGTATTGCAAAAATGTTGCAAATATTCCATTTTATTCTTTCTATCGAAACATTCATTTATGCATCCAACATTGTGCGAAGAAATGATATGAAAAAACACAAAAAATTAGATGGGTCCTGTTTTGATAAGATAATCAGAACAAGAGTCGATCATGTAGTCTAAAGTACAAAGGATAGTTTTCCAAAGCTAGAACCAAAGATATCTCATAGTATTCGAAAGAATTATCAAATTATTTTAAATCATAATAAACAGTTCCGAAATTTTCGTGAACCGAACCAAAATCAAGATGATTTGATTTTCTAGTAGTACAAAGAATTTTTTCGAAAAATTCAAGAGACTCTTCATATTTATTTCGAGCTTTGCAAATGATACCAAATGTTTGAAACGAGACACCTATTCTGATATCATTTTCTATGCAAAGATTAAATGCATTTTGGCTTAACCTTTCGTGATATTCTATTTGATAATAAGTTACTCCAATGTGCTTTACAGCATTACTCATGTTGACACAATCGGCTAAGCACTCAAATATTTCGACACTCTTGCACACAAATGGTAAAGCTTGCTCACATTCATACAAATGAAAATGAACGAATCCGCAAAATTCAGATAGCAGCAACCTAGTATAGGCTGGCATTGCTGTGAGTTTTCCATCGACGCATCCAATACTGAGTGTAATTCATGTTTGAAATAGCTTTGAACTCTGTAAAACTGATTGAACGTATTTCTACATCAGCTAGTTTGCACCAGCAATCAATGGATGACCATAGGGTATCATCCTATCGTTTCAATATTTTTGAAGTAGATACGCAAAGGAGTGCAGACGAAAATAGGACATATCATTCACACGTATTAATAAAAATGAATTGTCGAGCTAAATTCAACAGTACAGTAGATATAGGCTTTGTGAGCTTATTTGTTTGTCTCCAAACAATGAATTTTCATGTAATGATTCTTAGTTATTTTTATTTGAATCTCTTGAAAAATAGTTGACAATATGAAAAGAGAAAGTCAACCAAGTAATCATGTGATACGAGTGTTGGATTTTCATTGTAGGCGTGTGTTTGTGTCATATTTCCTATTAAGAAAAAGTAGTGGGCTAGTTTAGAATCATAGAATACTCAAACGGATAAAATCTCAGTCTCAATCACTCGATCAGTTATCAATGAAGTGATATTTTGACAGAATACCTACTTAGCTTTGTTAGGTGTTGGACTAACAGCGAGATGATATGACCACAGAACGGAGAAAAAGATGGTCCTTTCGTGGGATTCGAACCACACATCCTCTGCTATCCGGGCAGATGTACTACCGTTATACTAGAAAATACAACTTGATCTCCGTTTAGAATTGTAGGGGACCACTACAATGCTAACAGGCTTATTAAAAACACTATTCAAATATTCTTTTCATTTGAGACCATGACGATACACTTAAGTTTATCTTCAACGAACACACAAAAAACAAATAGCCCAGACACAGATAATTCTATTCAAATATTTTGCTGATTTCAGAACAAAGATTTGAAATAGATGACATTATCGACGTACATCCGACAAATGAATGATTCACACTAAATCTCTCTTTCAGTATTTTTTCTCATTCCAGAACAAAGATTTAGAGTCGATTATAATAAAGACGAAAACATGGTAAATAAATAGTTCATAGCACTGCAAGCAGCAAGATCTCCGTTCAGATATTGTGGTATCTATGATAGGCAGCTTGTATGCTGCAATGAAGAAGTGCAACTCGTCGAAAAAGTAGAAACCGTACGCTTATTGATTAAATGATATAAACCGTGATTGCTCTCAGCTTGATTGGCCAAGGTTTGTGTCATGCAGGTTGCAGTCATTAAGACTAAGAAGGCGCTCAAAGCAATCAATTGGTTGAGTTTTTGCATTTTGCTATGTTGTTTTTCGAGGCTTAAAGAGGGAATCGTAGATGAATACAATCAAGTATGTAAATGATATGGTCCTAAAGTTGTACTTTGACTCTATATGTAAGTCGACCGTCGAATAATGAGAGATTCACGAGAGAAAACTGTATATCTTATAAATGAAGAGAGGCAGATGTCTTTGTTTCTCGTAGAAAAACTGTTCATGTAACGTGTTTTTTTATTTATTTCGACGAAAACACTTAGAGGAACTGACTTTTAGTAGCATTCCGCACAGTTTCAGCGAAGTCATTGAAGTTCGACGCAATGTGGCCGGAGTGTGCCGAAATTTGATGGCCTCGCCGAAACTACTTGAAGCTATCATTTTGTTATTGCTATAGGATCTGTTTATTTTCATAGAATGTTTATATTGTGTAATATAAGATCTCAAATAATAAACTCTTCGGATTTAGTGTATGGTTCAGTATTACTACAACATTTATATGTTTTTATTGTTACACTCATTTTTTGCTTTAAGAAATTGCTCATTTTGGGCTCGTCGATTACGCTTACAATTATTAAGCAAGAAACAAAATCTTTCTTTTCTTTTCTTTTTTTTATTCACTTTATTTCAGCTTATCGATATGAAATCAAATAAAATATCTTTGTTTTATCCTCATAATTCATCGCGCATCGTTGACTGTTCATCGATCTTCAGTGTTCCCTTTCTTATTAGGCGATATTATCATCGATAGTTTTTGCTTGAAAACAATATAAGGAACACTCATGATCGCTGAACGGTAGAATATTGTTGCATGCAATGAATGTATTGAGAGAACCTTGATCGAATCATCTCACCAGATCATTTTCTTAAATTATATACAAAAAAAGTAATCACGTCTAATCATGTCTTTTATATTATGAATTTTATTAAGATACTCTTATTTTTCGCATCTTCTAAATCTTGACTTTCACTGCCGTATTTGTCAGGGTTAATCTCTATAACTGAATTTTATGATATTTCATGAATAAAATTATATCATCAAACCAATGATAAGTTGCATAGGTGAATTAATTATTGATTATAACGGTTTAACTAATGGATAGTATTGTATTTTCTAGAAGCAACCTAATTTCTATTCATGCAATGTCCCAGAAGTCCATATGAAAAGTAGTCTGCTAGTGTAATATCCGGCGATCTCGAAACTTGTGAAATCTCTTTATATCTTCGAACTGATCTTATGAAATTCGGGATAACTATGATACTTGATACCGGCGGAGTTTGTTTTATAGTAACAAATCAAAGAAGATGCATAGAAAAGATAGCAAAACCCTTACCAGATATTAACACGACAAGAGTTCAAATGCTGCGTGCATGAAAAGAGAAACATATCGAAGTGATTTTTCAAATCGAAATTCATAATTTTTAACAGTATTCATGAGGTTTATTTCCATCAATTAAAACCTCAGAGTAATACCTACGATGAGAAAAGAAAGTTAGTTGATCAAGTTTGATAAATAATGGAGTTATATGAATTTATTTTGCATGCACATATTTAGGAGCTCAAGTTTTGCAAAAATAGAACTATCATGAATAAAGACCATTTTTATATTTGTATGAAAAACAGAATCGAGTCTACGTTTGACATTGATTACAGCATGGCAATTTAAAAAACTAAGCCGAGCTATTTACTATTAGAAAAAGAAACAATACAATGATAAGAAGATCGCTCTCAACTAAATCTAAATGAAACCTAAATAACGGGTGGCCAAGAATAAATGGCACGTTTTATATTTTGTGAATATCTTGCTTAGCTTTGTTTGTGAAGAGCTGACATTAGGATCAAAAGATAGCCCGTTGAATTCTCTACGAGTACAGTATGAAACGTTATTTTGTAAAAAACAAAGCAAAAACACTCAACACATTCGAGAGAGCCAACTTTCTAAGCCACCTTTTAAATAATATTTGGAGCCTTTTTTAGAACTTTGAAAACTAATAAACTGGTAATGAAGATGTTTCTGAGCATTTTGAAACATGCTCTTATTCTCTATGCAGCTCACAGGTCGTTGCAATTAACTTGACGGTCTAAAAGACAGACTTTTCAAAACTCTATTCAAAATGTTAGTCATACTGACTCACATCTAATATTTTTCGTCAGTCGAATTGAAAGAGAGAATTTCAGCTCAACTTTTACCGTTGGGTTCGGTACAATTGTCCGAGATTTTCAAGGGCTACCAAATATCTATACTACTTTATTGTTGTCATCGTGGGGCAACGAAAAAACTCTAAAAAACGACAATTTTTCAGCTTAGCAAGCTGGCTCAATTGAATGTGTTGAGTATTCTTACTTGTATATTTTTGCTGTATTTTTTACAGAATAAAGTTTTATACTGTACTTGTAGAGAATTCAACGGGCTATCTTTTGATTCTAATATCAGCTCGTCACAAACAAAATTAAGCAAGATACTCACAAAATACAACGTGTGCCATTTATTCTGGACCACCCGTTATTTGCATGATTTCCTTTTTCCTTTGGTGTAAGATCAATGCTTTTATAGAGAACACGAACAATCTAATAATAGTTCTCAATCTTGAGGATTTCGATTTGGTTAATCCTCCTAAACTTGCCCACAACTCACACATAAAGATGTCTTCTCTCGACATTATTTGGTGTTGGGTTGATAGTAATCGAAGTATTGAATGAATCGGTAACTATAGAATTTCACTCTGTTGATAAAGAAACTCGCTATTTGACGCAACTTTCACCAACAAATGACACTGCAAGATTTGGACGTTGAGAAACATCATACATACTAACAATCTGACTATTACACGTATATTTTTGGTGCATTTTGTTAGATGCTGTTATCTGTGATTATACTCTCTCGTCAGCGGAATATCGAATCTCACGCAGAGAGAATGAAAGAAAAAGTGCAAAATAGAGCGAGCACCAAGATAAAGTTATGATACACTTGCTGACATGTTATCACTAGGGGTGCTACATTACTTTTAATCGTTAAGCGGTAATATTTTTTCGTACTTTGTCGTTTATTACTTTTTTAAAGTACGTTGCTTTCTTTTTATCATTTTGATGATACTAGAAGTATCGGTCTTTCTTAATAACGACCTAAGAATTCGTTCAGTACAACTTTATTACTTACTCCTGGTTACAGTAATACAGCAGCCCTAGCTATCAGTCAAATGCGTGCTTCGTAGCAGTATACGTCCTATTGTTTTGCCGAACGCTAATAAAAAAGGCACTCTAAAGAGAAAACAGAACGACATTATCTTAACATGTGGTACGCTTTGCTTGCAAAGAATCTGTTCGGTCGTTTCGATTTCAACTGAGATACTCTGATAGAAAGAATGTATACAAGAAATGTATCGGGCTGACTCGAATTTTATCTCTTGACTCAGTTTTCTCTATGATCAAATATATTCCTATTCTCTTTTGGCTCTATTCTCTGTTGATTGAATCCCGATTGAAAGCGTACCTTTCAATGAACTTTTCATTTCTGAGGAATTAACCATCGTTTCACTAGAGATTCTTGCTAGAGAGTTATCAAAGAGCCGTAGCGGTAAGATTCATAAATTTGGTCTAGATATTGATTTTCTAGAATGGCTCACACGAATGATAACATTGATACATATGATTATATTATCATTGGTGGTGGTACCAGCGGTGCAGTTGCAGCTCGACGTTTGGCAGAAGGAAATACAGATTTGAGTGTGTGTCTTCTCGAAGCTGGACCAAGGTATGTTGGTGTGTGCACTCATTTTTCAATCTTGAACAAATAATCTTTTGTGATAGTGATGCAGAAATAGTCGATGGGCGTATGATTGGTCGTTGGCTTTTAAATGGCGATAGATCATACGACTGGAACTATGATACTATTGCTCAGAAAGGTTGTAATAATCGTATTATGCATGCTATGCGCCCCCGTTATCTCGGCGGATGTAGTGCAACCAATGGTACATTGCTCATCCGTGGTGCCAAAGCAGATTATGATCGGATTGCAGATATGGGAAATCCTGGATGGAGTTGGGAAGAAATGTTGCCCTATTTCAAGGCATCTGAGACGTTTCATCCCGCTGAATGGCACCAAGCCGACTTGAATGTCCATGGCAATAATGGACCTCTGCACACTGAGCCTCGTCGTTTTGCACCTATCTCTGAAAAAGTGCTTGACTCTTTTATCGATAGTGGCTTTAAATACAAACCAGATATGTTTATGCAGGGCGATTTTGAAGGTTTGTTACGTTCATTTCTTGTCTAAAAACTCATTTCAGTACTCATTAGGTGTTGGGCATGCTATACGTACAGTTTATAAGGGTATTCGAAGTACAAGTGCAGACTTTGTTCACTCTTATGAAAAAACAAACCTTACAGTCCAAACAGGTGTCCATGTCGATCGTATCATTTTAGAAAAGAATAATGTAAACGATAAAGACAGACGTGACTACAAGGCAGTCGGCGTGGAAGCACATCATGATGCAAACGGTCAATCGATAATTATTAAAGCAAGAAAGGAAATTATTCTAAGTGCTGGGTATGCTGTAGAGATATGTGACATGATTCAAAGTCGAATTATTACATTAGAAAGAAAACTGTCGAAGTTTTTCGATAAACAATTCTTTTCGAGAAACTTTCTAATAGTACACTAAATCAGCTTTCAGTCTAATTTCAGTAAAAATGACGAGCAGTAATGGTTTCAGCCTTTTGACGTCGTCATGAAAAAAAACTAGCACGGCTCACGAACTGCCAAGCTATCCAATCCCGTTCGAGTTACTACTTTTATTTAGTGCTTACAATTCTCCAATGGTCCTAATGCATTCCGGTATTGGTCCAGCAGAGCATCTGACCGAAATAGGTATCAGTTGTAAGGTGGACTTGCAAGGTGTAGGAAAAAATCTTCAAGATCATACGATTGTATGTACTTCTCTTTGCTCGACTGTGCAATACTTCATGCTATCATTTAGGTTTTTACATCTTATCAAGTAAACGATCCAAGTCTGACGCTCGACCGGTTCATTTACTACCACCCAGACGTCCTTGCAGCATCCGTAAAACAATGGCATGAAACAAAAACAGGACCTTTAGGAGAATTCTCGTTTGGCCCATTCGCTCTGAAGCGAATTGATAAGACTATTCAAGATCCTGTATGGGAAGCTGCAAAATCTGAGAAGAAAACGGATCAATCATCTGATTACGATCCGACAGGCCAATGGCCGAATCAACCTCATATCGAATTCTGGACATCAGAAATGCTCCTCGGTGCTCCAAACTTCATAGATCCAGGTCAGTCGATCGCAATAAAAAAAGCCATTAGTGCAGTTCCGTGCGAGGCTGAAATGTAGAACCCATATACTCGTAAATGACTTTTTAATCCAAGGCATATAATTTCGAACAAGAGTACAACAAGGCTATATACTAGTATTAGTTTTACAAAGTTTCTAACAAAAATGAAAATTATTTGATTTTAAATATTGTTGTAAAATGAAGATGTTTTACATTTGACTTTGATTAGTATGGATACTTTGGCTACGATAGTAGCGTAAGCAGCGAAATGTAACAAGGTAAAAATATAAATCTATAATCATACATTTTTTAAATTCATCTTATACAAGATATTTCATATATTATAATAATTGATATAGTTTTATTGAAAGAGTTCAAAATGGTTGCATTTTCAGCCAACATACAGAAAAGTTTTGTTCCAATTTGAGTAGATAGATCGTAGAAATAAAGAGCCACGAATATGACAAGATATAGTGATGATTTGTTCATATTTAAATCCTTGAAAAAACATCGGTTTTCACTATAAGTTGCTTTCGTGTAGTGAGCAAGGGTCGCTATCAGCGAACGCTTCGCACTTTAGATAGATCGAAACAGAATAGATAGTCAGTTTCTCTATATTTTACAAAAAATACTCTCCTAGTCAAATAATTATGGCAAGTAAATGATAGCTATCGATTAGTCATAATTTTCTTGCGAGGATATAATTGCCTAAAATGGACTATACAAACGTTGCATGTTTCACAGTAATTTATATAGTTAGAATAATTTCGTAAGATCCATTAAATATGAATCTATTGACTTTTGCAGGTGAACCTCTTCCTTGTCCGGTCGGGGATGAAGGTATCATTACGCTCGTCACTTTTCTATGTGGATCCCAAGCAAGAGGTACAGTACGACTCGCATCCAAGAATCCGTCAAGTGCACCAATTATCGACCATGGCTTTCTCGAAAATGATCTCGATGTAGCTGTACTTGCTGAGGGTTGTCGGATTGGTCATGAAGTGCTGATGAAAGGTCGAGGAACGAAAGATATCATGGTTGGTCCATGGCCGAAAACAGCATCCCATCCAAACGATCTGGCTGGTTGGAAGCAGCATGTACGAGCTTTCGCCAACACCTGTTATCATCCAGGTGGTACATGTAAAATGGCACCTGACACCGATTCTATGGGGGTAGTGGACCATCGGCTTCGCGTAAGAAATATTGAGGCCTTACGAGTGGCAGATGTATCCATAATGCCTTTACTAAACAATGGACATACACAAGCTCCTGCATACGCTGTTGGTGAAAAAGTAGCACACATGATTTTGGAAGATGCTGCCCTCGCAAACTAACCGTATACAATTCATATACGTGGATTATTGATAACATTTAAAAGAAACTATATTTGTAGGAAGATTTTCTAGTTATCAGAATTTCAATGCTTTTCGAAACGTATAAAAATGAATTAGGAGAAAATAGGATTGAATTATGTGAAGGAGAAAAATAATGTCTTCTATTGTGCCGAACTCTATTAAGAAGACGTTTGATATTAATCTTAGATAAAACAACAAGTAACGAAAGTATTTTCTTCAAGATCGAAATATTTTATTACTAAATCGAAGATGAAAAAGTACTAAAAAGTAATCAAATCTATCTAATTTCACACAGAAGAATTCTAATTCTCATAAGCAAAGCAAATTTCCATTTCTTTTTTAAATAATTTTTAGTGAATTTTGTTGAGTGATTACAATAGAAAAGTGATCAATGAAAATTTTCTTCTTATTGGTTTAATTCAATCATATTAAAAATACATATTCACTCGAGTTGGTCAATTAAAAAAAAAAATTTATCAAATTCAAAATCCTCTTAATTCACTTTATCGACATTTTCAGTCATTTTCATTTGTTCGAGAAAAAAAAAATCATTGAAGGACATATTGTTAAACTCATCGCTAGATTGGTATTATTTAAAAATCAATATAAATATTTCTCTATAGTTTTTCTTTCTGTAAGAAAGAGTATCTAGATCGATCAAGCAACAAAAGAATTTCATTCAGCAGCTGTTTTCAGTTTATCAACAAGTATTTTAGTTATTGACGAGAGATGTCTCAAGTTTTGGAAGTAAAGTTCACCGGGTGCAAACGTTTTCGACCAGGTGCAACTTGACTTTCATATTATCAAATATATTTCTAAATCCTTTCTTCAGATGGAAGACCAAGGCTGCATCTCATTTATTTTCATGGTTTAGACTCCAGAAATAACATTAAAGTATGAATGTATGATACCATTTGGATTCAAACTTTTTTCAAAATCAAATCCGAATTCGAACGGGCCCGGATCAAATCTTTCTATGGAATCGAAAACAAATTTTAACGAAAAATAAACGCCGATTGTTTCCTTGAACAAGCGAAATATATCAGTACAATAATTGCTGCTTAATTGGTCAAAATATTTGAACATTTTCCAATAATTAATTATTGAAGAAAAAATTCTGATAGACTATTTGTTCTTTATCGAATCAAATGTTTTAGTTTGTTTTGACAATATCCTTACAAATATTATTTTTTCCACTATAAGATTTACAATCGATTAGAATTCATCCTGTTATATATTTTAACGAATATTTATTCAATCAGTTCAAATCGTTCGTTGTTCAAGAAAGAAATTTTTTTAAAATTTATTTGATCGAATCAAAATAAATATTGTGAGACAAAAAGTTGTTTTCTATGAAATTAAACTTATTTAGAATAATTCTTTCAAAAATCTATCGCACACCAATAATGTGTGTTTGTCGATAGACAAGAGAAACAGAGAGAGAGAGAGAGAATGTTATTTCACGTTTATATATATCTACGCATTTTCGCTATTCTAGGTTAGTATCATCGTTATATCCTATTTCAAATATGGAACGAATAAAACGACAGTTAGACGACATTGTTTACGATAATAACGACAACAAGAAACAAAAAGTAGAACATGAATGTAAGATGATTTTTGTGTTTGTCTATATTTAATAAATCTTTATTTTATTTTAGTAATAAAACACAAGTAATGTTATATAAAATGTATTTAGTCATCTAATTTTCTTTTTCATTTAGACCTTATTTTGAAAATTTAGCAAATGAAACTATTTATGAAATATTTCAATATCTCGATGTTTATCATGCTTACGAAGGATTTTTTAATCTTAATCGACGATTTAAAAATTTAGTTGTGCATAGAAATCTTTTCGTTCAAATAAATGTTACGACAATGTCAAAATCAAATCTTGATGATTATCATAACAATATGATTAAACCAAATAAATATCGAATTAACTACATGCGTTTATCGAATCCATTTACTGTTGATCTTATTTTCTCACCGCCACGTACTATTTGTGATTACATTCAACTTGAAACATTAGTTTTGGATAATATTGATACAAAATATCTTGTTAATATTCTCAAACATTTAAGCTTTTCACCGAAATTACATTCATTAGTTTTTAGTCTTGCGGATTATGTTCAACAGCCTGCTTCTCTTTTTCACCACATATTTTGTTTATCGAAATTAAAATATTGCAAAGTAACATATCAAGAACAATATGATAAACAACCAATAGAATTTTATTTGAATAAAACACAAAGTCCTATCGAATATCTTATTATCAATAATCGTTTTTCCCTTGAGTCACTTCATGATATATTGTGTTGTCTTCCAAAACTTCGTTATTTATCAATTGATTGTCTTGTTGGAGCGAATGCTTCATATATTTATCAATTGTCTACTACATTAAAACATTTAAAACACGTTTCGATTAAAGTCGATCATCTACGTTTCTATTTATTCCAACAGTTAATCAAAACATATTTTAGTTCTATTGAAGTTTTACATCTTACAACACATGATCCAACATATTTGGCTCCAGGCCAATGGGAACAATTAATCTTATCTTCAATGCCGAATCTACGTATTTTTGATATATATCATACTAATATTGTACAAAAAGATGATTTAATATATCTTCTTTCAATTTATCAATTTGATTCGTCGTTTTGGACTCAACGAAAGTGGTTTATAACACATAAACACAATACAGAAATAAAATTAGATCGTCTAATACTTTATTCAACAAATCCATATAGAAGAGAAGATTATACATTTTATTCGGATTTCTATCCTCAACTTCATTTACATAGTCAAGAAAAGAATTTCAATTCAGTTAAACATGTTCATATTTCCAGTAAATATCTATCGAATTATAATCTAAATTGTTTTCCAAATGTTAACGAATTAACTATTGAAGAGCATTTTAACACATCTGATAATTCAATTTCAACAACTCTTAGCCATATTCTTCCTTTGAAACAATTGACTAAGTTAACTATTAAAAGGGCGAATTTTACTTCTGAACAAATTATTGACTTAATCCGTCTGACACCTAATTTATCGGTATTAAAATTAGATTCATTATCGTTTAATGGAATTCAACAAAATGAAAATTTTCAATACGTATCAAATACAAATAAAATTAATACTATAGAAATTCGTCAATCTTGTAGTTTAGAAAATTTTCAAATAATTCTTGATTTATTTCGACAAGTTGAATATCTTAAAATTGGAATGAATAGAAAAGAAGTCAATCAAATTATACGATTTTTATCTTCAAAAATTAATAATAAAACATGTCGTTTATGCTTTTTGTGTATTTTACAAATACCTAAAGTATGTCTACGAGAATTAAATGCATTAATTAGATCAGAACACTTATTCAAGAATTATTCTATCAAGTATATTAATCGTGACTTATATTTATGGTGGTAGAGATTTTATTCTTTTTGCTTTGTATATTGTTAATAGTGACTTTTAAATAAACGAAAGTATTCATTGATTTATAGTGATGCAATTGAAAAGTTTTAGATGCTTCAAATATTCTTAACCAGACACATAGACGAAAATTATTCATGAGAAATACGTTTTATCATATAGGGTTTTGTTTGAAGATCTTTGATTTGTTCGTATATGAACCATGCAGAAAGAATTAATTGAGGGTGTGTGGAGACAGATGATAAGAAGATCATCACACCTACACTCTTGTAATATTCACATTGCAATTGATACATGCTCAATGAAGCAGTACTTTAGTATTTCCAAACGAGACAGTTAAGTCCTTCAAAGATTTTGCGTGAAATGAACATTTTTAGGATCTTTTACGACCCTCACTCTTCTCGATCATTGGTTGCACGAGTTTGCCATTCGCGTTTATTTTTCTCAGTGTTTTGACTGTTGTTGTTAGCAATCTGTTCGTATTTTTATATCCGTTATCTCTGTTTTCTTTGCCAACGTCCTTATGTAATAAATGTTACTGTCTTTCTTTGAATCGCTTTATTTGTTTAGAATGTCACATTCTTTGCATCGCCTATTTAACAGTTACACACAGAGTTTTTCTTTGCCGATTTGTGAGGTAGAAAGTTGGATGTATAAAGTGTATTGGTTGTCACTTATAATAGTTTTGGTTCGATTGAGATATTTTACTTTCCTGCACTTTTGAGGGATGTTTTCGGCTTCGTTCTTCGCTCGTCTTCAGTACGTCTTATTTCGAAACCTCACTTTTTCAACTTGCCATGTCAAGCTTCGCTATGCAGAATTTTTCGTTGCTCTTTTCACCTGTCATGCTGATGCACGTTTTTCGCTTTCCTGAAGACGATCGATCCAAACGATCAGAGAAAGGGTATCAAAGGTCATTCTGAATGCTTCTTTTTAACTCTCTATGTTTTTTTTCCTTTTTTTATACTGTAAACTTCGTCACGCGTCGGTTTTTAAGCTATTTCCTCATATCCTCAAGCTATTCTACTGATCGTTTACAAGTAAAACAAGTCCCCCTCCAACACACACATACTGTCATCCCGTATCTACAATAACCCCTACACCCACGCCCTCATGACAGTCGTATATTAGCCAGAAGTTTTTCATTCGAATGAAACTTGTTTTTTTTCAGCTAGAGGCAACTGCTGGCCTGCTTTTATATTTATTGCCGTGTTTACGTGGTGTCCTTGAGGTCTGATTTTTATTTGAACTCAACTTGGGCAACTCATGGGTGTTGGTAAAGGTAAACCCTCAAGTGAACTTGTAAATGCGAAGAACCAAAGCGTTCATAAAAATGAATCTGGCAGTGAAGCTGATGAAAATTTATCATCTGACAATGTTCTTCCGAAATTCTTACCACGACATATGGCTCCGGATGTGAACGTCCCAGCTAGAAAACAACTGTTATGTGCAAAATCACTGCCAGCCAATAGCAGTAGCTATCAAAATATTTATTCGTGATTATACACTTAATCAATTCGGAATTTTCTCTTTCTAGGTATAAAAGTATGTAGTGGAACAATCGGCATTTGTCTAGGAGATCTAACCAAACAAGCGGTAAAAGATTGTTTTGAAAACATATACATTCAGGATAACTTGACAGATGTGTGCCCACGATACTATTGAAACATTGATTTTGAATTCGAAGATACGGATCATTTGAAATATTCCCATTCGTTCTATTTATAAAATTAGTGGTCTACAAAGAATAATTCTTGTTGTACGTAATTTATGTTTTCGATTGTCACCTATTCATTGTACTAAAATTTCTGATTATTTATCCAAATTTTATTTTTCTTCGATGCATCTTATATTGATTTTTGAATTACTCGTTTCGTTGCATTTTTTAGGTGGATGCAATAGTCGTTGCATCAACATCAGACGCCCTAAGGAAAAATGTTTTGCAAGAAGCTGGATCAGCAGTCTCAACGCAATATGATTCAGGAGAATCCTCAAAAACACAAAAATCTATTCAAACTAACGGTGGAAATTTATCGTGCAGGCGTATTTATTTTATTCCATGTGAGAATTTGTCTAAAACAGCGGATAAATGGGTATTTCGCAAATTTGTTTCTGAAGCGATTGCCATGGCAATTAATGATCAAATAAATAATATTAAATCTATTGCATTTCCTGCCATTGGTTGTGGATTATTAGATTGTGATGTCAATTTTGTTGCTAAAACATTAATTGCGGCTGTTGCATATGAACTTAGGCGTCAAGCTTCGTTACAGTTGTTTGTCTATTTTATCATTCAACAAGATCGACAGAATGTTTTTGAGGCTTTTCAAAATCAATTACAGACAGAGAAACCAAGGGCAGCAGCACATGTTCGTGATGTAGCTCCAAAGATTGTAGCACCACCGAATCGGAAACCCCATCCTTCAGATTCAAATCCCTTTGAGGTAAAAAAAATTTTACTACATCCTGCGACTAAAGAATATGAGGATGTTGTCGAACGCTTTCAATTGACTATGACATCGACATTTTATAAAGAAATCGTTCGCATTGAACATATCTGGAACAGACGTTGGTACCAACAATATAGAATACATCATGGAGAGTTTCACAAAAGACTGAGTAATGATACAGAAACATGGTTATTCCACGGATGCTCTGAAACTGCGGCGAATAATATTATAAAAGAGTGTTTCAATCGCAGTTATGCTGGTATACACGGTAGGCACTCATTTGTATTTGGAGTTCTACCAATACTGCATACATTGCTATGCGGAGTACATTTGAAGTCATCTGGCCATTTAGCAAGACTGATGCACTCCTCGTGTACTCGTTCTTTTGTATTTGAGTAATAATCAAGTGATAAAATCTTTCATCGACCACCTTTGTAACAGAATTGTAATATGTATTGGTCATCCTGCCATATCTTTGTAGAAGAGAATGGTGAAAACAAGAGCGACGGAGGTAAATAGATGAGAAACAACTGATGCATGACGTACAAATGTATATATTCCTATCATAGATGTCCATGGCGGTGCGGTAGCGATACCTTTTTCAAAATCTCATCGCGGTGCGGCGCAGTAGCGGTAGATTTTCACCCGCGATGGACATCTATGATTCCTATACACATGTAGACCGGAAAGAGGCAAGGAAAAGAAAATCAACAATTGATAGTCCACTACTTATCACAATTGAACTATTCTCTTTCGTTTAGGCACATCATATGGCAAGGGAGTCTATTTTTCTGCAAATGCGAGTTACAGCCATACCTATGCCACTCCCAATTCTAAAGGAGAACGACGCATGTTTTTGGTTCAAGTACTTGTGGGCAAAACAATTGAAGGAAATGCTTCAATGAAAACATGCCCACCAGGCTTCGATACAACGACAAATGGTTCTCACATATATGTCACTTATCATGACAGTCAAGCATTTGGAAAATACTTAATCACATATAAATAGACACTGAAAACATGCAATTCATTTGTTGAACATCATGGCAAATAAAACTTTCTTATTTTAAATAAACAGCAATGTCAGCGATCGAAAATATTTGCACTTTACGAAAAGTCCAGTAACTATTTCCTTCCACGTCAACCGATTAATTCATATACTAAGCCTACAAGCAGCACGCGTGTATGATCGTAACATTCTAAAAGTTTTCTGTTCTATCCTACAATAATGAACGAGAAATTATATTCTTTATATACACGGAGTTTTTAGTCTGTCGTCATACGAAGCCTTAATAAAAAGGCAGTGTAAAATGATAGGTCTTAACTTTGTCAATGATCGCATGTATCGATTATGCGCATTGACATTGATTATATGATTTCACTGAAAATTTTTACTATATAAAATCAACTATTTGATATACAAAAAAAGGGTCATGAATTCTATACTTTTTGAATATTTCTTTGTTAAATACTAATATTTTATTAGACAATAGGTCATGAGTTTTAGATTAACCTTTTCTTTTACATATTAATATCATGTCCTCCTGTTTATTTTGTCTTCCTGATAAATTAACAGCAAAAGTAGAAATTCGAATATTTAGCAGAATTAAAAGATTAAGAACACATATAAGAATCTGTAAATAAAAACCAAAGATGCTTCATGCTTAACAAGAAAGATATCACTATTAGTCAGACTACTAACATTTTTGATACTTTATGGCTAAACTATAAATTCAGTTCATTTGGTGAGATTTTCTTTTTTAAGATTAGAAATTATTGTTAGTTAATAATGTATAACTTTACTTGCTTGAATGATAAATGAGATATTGACGTGTCTATGAATTTCGACGATGAATTACTTTCGGCTTGTCGTAAAATAAATTCCGACAATCTCCTTGTTATTCAAGTCTCACTCGAGTCCGATACAGTAAATCACAATAACTTCGGCAAGATGAAAAATGAATGAATATCTGTGAAATGACGATTCGATAACCCATAATCACATTTCAATCGATGAAAGACACAGTGAATCTTTTCACTTAAATGTTACTACTTTCTTTTATTTTCTCTTATTTAAATAGAAGAGCAGAAAGTATCTTTCTTAGTAAAGATAAAATCTTATGACTAAATTCTTAAATACAACAAAATATTTAGTAACATTTCGTGTCACACTCGACGTTTCATTCGGATCTCTTTTGTTTTGCATGAAATTCAAATACATGTATTATAAAAGTGAAGTATAAAAGTTTTTATTTCTTTTTCTTTAAAACAGCATTGCTAATCCAAAAGCTAATAGTTTCATTTCGGCATTTGTTTATTTTTCATGAACATTCTTCTATTCAGATGTAATTCCGATTGTTTTATTAAGGAGAATTTCAAGAAAGATACCAAATTCAACCAAGAATATAAAATAAAAATCTAAGTTAAACGTTAACTTAACAACGAGAATCATATTGATATTTATCGTCATATGTATCTCATTATTATAAGCATAGGTTTGCAACCAGCACAGATCGATGTCATTGTTTTTGTTTAACTTGAACTGACTATTGAGATTAAAATAAATGTATGTTGACACACATAGAAAATACACAATAAAATCATTTTTTTTGGAAGCATAAAAAAAGTTAACAGTCACGCAACTTATTATAAACAAAATCTTTTAAAATGTCTAAACTAATTTCATCACGAATTTGAAGTACTTTGTGACCAAATCGTTCAGCAGTTGAAATATTGTTCCGATCATCGTCAAGCAAAAGAATTTCCCCGGGAGCTATTTTTGTTTTTATTTTTTTTCCAATTTCAGCAACAACAGATAATATATGAGATTCTTTACCAGGATATTCTTTACCAGGATCATTTGCTCTCATAGTGGCAACAAATTTAGGTGTATTGCACCGAATTATAATTTGATCGGTTTTGCTATAGAAAACAAAAACAAACGAATCATAATAGATTTTTACTAAGTTGAAGAAAGTTTTAAACTTACGAAGTTGTAAATGCTAAACGTAGTAATTTTTTTATCAGTTTTTCTTGAGGTGAAAATGATACGAAACAAACATGAAGTGTTCGACTGAAAGCTGATGACTCAAGAAGTTCTTGAATGAAATAGTGAAATACCGGTCTTATATAAGGCAATAGGCTATCAGCTGTCCCTTTATAATAACCATGTGTATGTGTTGATAAAAATGTATTATCAAAGTCAATAGCAATTAATTTGATATTCTTATTTTGTAAGCCTACTACAATATCTCGAGCTTTTGCACGGTTAGCAATATCTTCTGATGTAGTTAAATCTGGCGATACTGTTGAAAGATTTTGATTAGATAAATCTGCGTTTGAACACTGATTTTTTAACTCAGTTGATGTTGTAAGCGATGGCAATGATTGAGATATTTCATCATCCGCTGGAGACGATGTTGATGTTGTTGTTGCATTATTTGATGGATTCACTTTCGTCGTTCGAGACATATCTGAAATTAGAATCATCTTAATTTTTATTCATAAAACAAAATTAAACGATAGGTACACAAATACGTAGGAATCCGAATAAAAGCGACAATATACTAAATATCGCTAACACGGTAACCGGTGTGATGCTCCCCAGAAGCACTTGCTCCCGGAACAGCGATTCCACTACAGGTTATTATTCATACAAAATTGTGGGTGTGCATGAGTGAAGAGGATAATCATGTGTCCATAACTGCAGCGGCACAATCACATCGGTACATCCATACCCTCAAATAAATAAATTTATATCTTAATCTCTGCTGATTAACGCCTTGTTAAATACGGTTAGGAAGCCGGTGTCGCATGATAGGTGGGTAGTGACCTGAAGGAAAGCGAAAAAAACATCAAGAAAAAGGTATATAATGTTGAGAAATAACAAAATCGACTGTTTTGCCGTACTTTTTTTCTTGCATGCAGACGATCAAATACGAAAAAAAAGTTTGATTATTATTTTTGACTTTCTTATTGATGTTGGTTAATATGCGTCAAATTGTTAATATTTCATATGCTTCATATCGCGTGTTAAATTATTTTTTCTTGAGTTGCTCAACAAATGAAAGTATTGGATAGATGCATACTGAGAATACTTTGACATCATTCGACTGTGACAAATACTTTGCTAAGCAATGCTTATCTATAAACGAAATAAATAAACTATACATAGAAATAATTCACATAATCCTTTGCCGATATCAACGGCAAGTGATACTGTCGTACTTATCACTCGTTCAGCTGTATCAAAAGTCGAAAAAAGGTGTACTTTGCAAAAAGTTCCATAGCTATATGTAAAATCTTACATACTTATATATATATATATATAAGTAGTTGAAGAAAGGGCAAAACATGAATAAGCTACGAGTGAATCTTTCCTTTTCCCATTGGACTTTCACTTTCACTTCAAATGATTCATTCATCTTTTTTGCGCAATTACCAGCATTCTATTTCTATTTATTCTTTAATTTGAACGTATATAAAGATAAAGTAACAGCCTTATTCGAGATTGAAACTTCTGTGCGAACGACTCTCTCAAATTTAATTTTAACGAATATTTTCATTCAGTACATAAAACATTTTTGCTTTATTTCTTTAATAAATGTTTTTCGTATTCTTTTCTTTCTTTGCCAAGTGATTTTTGTTTTCTTTTCTTCTCTACTTCGAGACATATTTACGCTGGACAATTCTTTATCGCTGAAATCTACTAAGTATGAAAAACAAACGTTACATTAAAAATGCAAACCTGACTCTCTCTTACATATACACAAATAACATGTCACTCTTAACTCTATTCTCATTCTTTTTTATGTAAATTCATGAATGAGAATCATATCTTGTATCTATTGTAAGAGGCATAAACAGATCATCTCAATTTCCTGCTGACTAAAAATTTCTCATCATACCAAAAACGATTTAAAACAATGCTCTCTCCCACATAAAATTTCACAATATTTATTATTTAACTCAACACAAATAGAAAGGTCCGTTCTGATATAGAAAGATAGCGCATCGAAGTAGAATAGTGGTTCTATGGAATTTCGACAAAAAGAATTTCGCCATCTGAATTTCGACAATGTCTACATTGCAGTAGAATTTGGACATTGTCGAAATTCAGATGGCGAAATTCTTTTTGTCGGACTTCGATTTTACCAGAATAGTTTAACAAACGTTCGGTAACATTGAGAAGAAGGTGATGTTAAGCACATCTGATAAATTCGCTGTCGTTCGCTCGATTAGTAATATCGTTCATAACTTCTGCTAGCGTTAGTGATGCAACGTACTAGCGCTAAACGAAGATTAAGATGTTCTGCTAGTCTAACTGGTTAGAACATCTGCCCGGACAGCGGAAGGTGTGGGCTCGTGTTCCACGAAGTTCACTTTTTATTCGTTCTGTCACATAACATCACATCAGTGGCACTGCTTGTTTCTTTCGCTCTTAATATATCTCTCTTTCATTCCTTATATACCCTTTTCATTTTATACATATTATAACTAGCAAGCGTGCATATTTATTTTTAATTTAAAAAAAAAACAAAAAATGTATCTGTTCCTTTTCATTCTACTAAAATGTTTTCAGATGTTTTTCTTTCGCAGTTAATCAAATAGACCAAAACCCATATCTTCACAGTCACAATCTTCTTTCAAGAAAGCGTGATGTTCATAACCTTTAGAAATAATTTTTCTATCGACGGTTTCATCCTTAAGCTTCTTCTGCATGTGCTCAGCCATTTGAAGTAATAACGAAATTATTCCTCGTTCATCATCAAATCTTTCGACATCTTTAAGTAACGTAAGTTGTTCATCAACAAGATCAATAGCTTCTTTTCTATGACCATCATTCACTAGCTGCGCAATTTTCTTATCCATATCAGCAACCATTTGAGTGGCATACATAGTTTTCACACGAGGATCAATGTCCGTAATAAGTGACTCATCTTCAACAAATTTTAATGATACAGTATTTTTCATCACTGTCGGCGCACCATTGAGATCGTTTGGTTGATTATATCGTAATTCATACCTAAGTATTTCAACTTCGGTATTCTCTGTGCCAGAAGTTGTAAACTCACAAAGAACTGACCGTAGATTATCTGAATGGAGATCGCCAAGGCTTGCACCAGCGACAACATCTTCGTGACCCCATATCTTCGTGACAACGGCTCCATTTCTACCACGTACTATAAGACGAACACGTGATGCACATACACCAAATACACAGACAAGTGCTTTACTAACGAGGAATTCAATCTTTTCAGGTGATGAAAGAAAGTAAAATCTTGATCCACCAGCATCAGCAATACCTTTCATAATTTCACTATCGAAATCGGCACCAATACCAAATGAATCAGTTATAATACCTTTATTATTATATCCAGCAACGAGATTAGTTAATTCAGCACGTGTTTTCATTCCAACATTAGCCTGTCCATCAGAAAAGAGAAACATACGGCGCGAAAAACCATCACATACATATTTATCCAGGAGACCAGCACCTGCATCGATACCACCGGACATGTTTGTTGAACCAGCAGTTTCAATTTTGTCTACAAGAGGATAAAGATATTGTCGAGTTGATGCTCGGGCATTTTCAAAAATAATAGATACATCAGCATCATAGGCAACAAGATGAACTATATCATCATCGTGAAGAAGATTAAGAACCGAAACCACAGCTTTTTTTGCAAACGTTAATTTATTGTCAGATTCCATAGATCCACTGCGATCAAGAATAAGTACTAAGTTTAGTGGCGTTCGTTTGGCTGTTTGTCCTTTGCTTTTTGTTTCAATGTCGAAACGAACTTTTTTTGTATTTAAAACGCCAGAAATAGCATGTGGATTATCTGGAATACATCGAATTTCGATGTCAGCTAACTCAACATTGGCAGCCATATTGCTTCAATATACTAGCAGTCAATTTACCGTAAATATAAATAATGAGTTCAGAAATATATGGGGTTTACTTGCAAATAATTGAATTGTTGATCAGCAGTTAAATAAGGGACAACACATCTTTAGAAAAGAGAATGGATCGGTATTTTATACGTCGCACAAGAACGCGATAGGGTTGTGCAACATTTGTTTTTGTTGAGTCATATTGTTTTGCAAGAAAGAACAGAATATCTTAACCATGGAAACTATGACGAAATAAAATAGCCTGAAGGTGCAGCGAGAAAAAAAACTTAACGTGTAGACGTGGAGAAGCATTAGTTTTAGAGAAAACGTAATCGAAACTATACTACACTCTCGAGAAACAGATATCAATTACAGTACTTCAATCAGAATTGATAAAATTTGTTCGCACATGTGCGCATTTGTATTCTAAAAGTGAATTCACTAATGGATGTGTATGGGTGTGGTTATCAGTCTTATCTTTACACCCAAATCCTCAAATATACAGTTAGCTGAGAAAATTATCGGAAGTATTCCATGATCCATGTGAATCTAGTTTCTTGTAGTATTCATTATTGATCAAGAAATCGAAAAGAACTAATGACCGTCTAATCTCTAAAAAGAAATTTGTCATAAAGAAATTTTCTTCAGTACAATTTTCTCGGTATTTCTTCGAAACTATTATTCTAGTGTTGACAATAGAAAATTGATTCGTAACTTGATGTCATATATATTTTTTCAGTTAATTTATTTACTGCTGTACGTATAGAAAAAAATGTTAGTACGTTAATGATTACTAAAATTAGTCATGAATTTTCAATATGCTTCGGTTCTTTTATAGCCATCAATATGAGGGTTCTTTTGCCATTAATTATAGCGATCTTGTTGATGATTTCTTCGTTTTTTGACTTCCATAATCAATTCATCAGAACTACTTGTAATAAATAAACGTTGTTGCCAGTCTCGTGTATCCATCGATGACGCCTGATTGTGAAAATGGTTCTGTAATCCATTTTTATCTTGAGTAAAGACAATAACCGGAACATGACGTAAGCTATTATAATTTAAAAACCGTAATAAATTTAATGGATTTTTGTTCTCATCCTTATAGTAACCACGACAAATTATTAGAAAAGTTGATGGTGATTTTATCTTATTCTTGATTGTCGAAATATGTGCTTCTCCACTTGAATAGGTTTCTCGAAAGTCGACTGTAACATTTTTTTCACTTGTGAGTTTGTTCACAATATGAGTATTTTCGATGTTTTTTTTGTCAATCCAAAGAACAAACAGCATTTGCGCTTCAGTCGTTGGTGCTACTATCGTACGATCAGGATAGTTACTATGATCAGTTTGCGGCTTTCCCCACACAAAAGGGACCGCATGTCCTCCTATCCATATACTATTAAAATAGTTGAAATTATCATTGAGTTTCCAAAAGAAAGTGTAATCGAAATTTGGATAAGTATAATTCGGTGGAATATAATATGACTTATCTTTATCCACATTCCAAACATATGGATTCACAACATTTGTAGTTTCTCGACGGCCGGGCTCATCGTGAATCAATTTGATGCAGTGTAAATCTGTGCACATGCTCGGATTACACATATATTGATAAGGAATGTACACATATCCTTTGTCACCCTAGAAATAAACCAACAGATTGTGCATATTTCGAAAGTATTAGATGTTATCTGATTTCATATAATCCCTCTTATCATTGATACTACGCGTTAAAGGTTCTTATATGCAATAGAAGCATAAATTTCGGTAATATAACCTCTGAATTTGTACGAATAGCTTATTTCAATCGCTGAAAAAAGAAACTTATCACCGTAATGCCTACTAGAATAGACATACGTACTTGTAACTTATGAAAATTTTATTTAGAAGGAATCATTTGAAAGAAAATGCATGCTCATGTGTCAGAGCTTTGTTTAGATTGGAAAAAGTTTTTGGAGTTTATTTTATATTTCTTTTCTCGAATTAAATTATACATTAAGAATGATAATAAGAACAAAATCTACGTTCTAATCCAGAATTTTTCGCGAATAGAAAGAAATTCAAGAGACGGACTATTTCATCGCCTAACGATTATCTACTGTGATTCAACTATATTTCTATTCGTTTGTTGATCTATAACGAACACACAGCCAAGATAAGAAGACATTTCAGCGATTTCTATTTTTACCGTGTAGAATTTTACGCGGAGAAAAGCTAATCATTATAAATATCTGCGCTTGGAATGGAAACGCTTAGATTGATGTTTTTTTTCTGACTATCAGATAAACATGAAAATAAATAACTAAGACTAGTGATTGGTATTGATCGTCATCGCTCATTGTTTTTCTCTAAATTGATTATACACGCATTGTCAGATGTTTTATTCAGCAGTTGCATATCACAATTAGACTTTATCCTCTCGGCCCAGAGCGTAATATATTGATAGTGCTGAAACGTTCAAAATGACAGCTGTGATTTAAACATGAGTACAAGGTATCTATGTAACAATTATTCATAAATGCTAACTTCCGATAATATGCTTTCAATTGATATATCTTTTAGTAAATTCCTTTACATTTATAATAGTAGTTACGTTGAATTGTTACAACTGAATATTATAAAATTCATCATAGTGTGTGTATCGCTAAAGGGAAAGCTAAAATCAAGAACTAACACTAGTAGTCGTAGTGAGTTTTAAACGAAACTCAATCTTCTTACAGATGAAAGACAATTAGTAAAATTAGTAGTTAGGTAGCCCATCTCATTCGATTAAATATGGGTCAGTATTACAAACTGATAAATGTCAAAATAGAAAACTATTTAATGCAAATCATTTGCTTCTCAAGTTTATCATCCATATAGAATCAAAGGATATTTCTCATAAAATTAACCCTGACTTACCCATGTGTCACCATATGAATTTCTAACGATGAAACATTGTGCTGCATTACTGTATCCAACCGCTAGCATTGTATGTCCACATTCCTGAGCATCCCCTGCTTGCTGATTAGGCATCAAAACACGTCCTCCATTAGTCTCAGATTGTGAAAATGATTTATATAATTGAAGACCGAATGGAAATGGAAAACCTTCTGCTAGACATCCTTTCATATCGTTCAACTCGACCGCTACTGTCATGGACTCCTTGATGCAATGTTTTGCAGCTTCTGTATAACATCGCTGTGGTGGTTTTTGGTTGATGAATGCAATGTTGAATGGAAATAGTTCTTCTTTACAACAACCATATTGTGTTAACCCGGCAATGGCAGACGATATATAAGTACCGTTATCGATCATTTGATAATTGTATTTGCCGCTTAATTTACGACCGTTGTAGTATAGAAATAGGCGGCTAACATCAACATGCTTTTTGGTATTTTTCATTATCAGAAACTCATATGCACCTAAATGGTATTCACGCTTTATAGGTGCAAAATCGTAGCGTCGTGTTACCTGCGAGCGCATTTGCAACACTAAAATTAAAGAAAAGGATTTTGGAACAATCAAGCCATGTTAATACTCTCGGATTCGAAAAACAAAGCATAAAAAATATTCACTATGAATTTGTTTGTCCTTGGTGTTCGATAGGGGTCATAAGTTGTCTCATGTCAACTGAATGTGGCAGCTCTTTATTGGAAAGAGTTCTGGAAGCTCCAAATGACGGTAAATTTGATGGTGTATCACTGAACCAACAACCACCGACCTGACAACGAGCTCCCGTTATTGCACTGGTAAAAAATTTCCTCTCAGCTTGAGCCATAAAAAGGATCTTATGTTCAATACTCTACAATAATGAATAAAAGAAATATGTTGTCTGCTATTTCAAGCAATTATTACGCTCAAGAGGTATACAATTCATTAAAGTTTGCACGGTTCAACACAATATTAGAAAACTCTTATCGTATTGTTAATCTAAAATCCATGTTTGTTTTCATGTTTAGACTAATATGGGTTGCAGAAGTCAAACAAATGTTAACTATATTGGATAGATGTAATCGAAATTCATCTGATGCCGACATGAGTTTATTAGTTTCTTTTCTTTCTATACCGACGATTTCCGTAGGTTTTCTTTCGACATTAATTGCATTCGCAGTGTTGATATACTGCAACGAAATTTTGGTAGAACTACGTGACAATAGAGCAGTCTAGACATTTTACAGCAGATACACACGAGTCGCATAACTCGAGCGGGATGTGCATGGATTTTTCAGAACAGCACAGATATGGATCTCATGATAAAACTAGGCATATACGATCTATGTCATCTGGATCAAGTTCGATGATTTTAAATATTACTGGTAGGCACTGAGAGTTTTCTACAACCGACTAGAACGAATTGATGAAAATGAGCTCGAAATTTCAAGTCACTACACTTTTATTTCACACTAATTTAAACTAGTTCAGGATCAATCAGTCGTGTCAAACTTGAAACTTGAATTCAGTTGAAAATAGAAACTTTCAACTCATAGCGATATATGTGTGAGTCACGATTCTTCAAAATGCTATTGGCTTAAAATTTGAAAATTGAATTCAAGTTTCAAGTTTGACATATGTGGGATCAATCACTTTTTGAGACCACTATTGGGTATACACGTGCAACTTGATCCAGAAAGTTCACTATATGATGCTAGCTTTAGTTCAAATTTTAGAACTAAACTTATGATTAATACCTGATATTCTTATCTTGAAATGTCCAGCACATTATTTTCGTCTGTTAGAGTCATTGGAAATTGATAAAAAGGAAGTATAATACTTTAGCTTCAATGGGAGAAAAATGGATGAAAGATTGAAAAAAAAGCTGAAAATTAAGTTGACGTGAAACTAGAACCAATTTTGAGTTCCAGTTCGTAATAAGACTCTTGTTTTCATGGTTAGATACGTGTAAATTTGTTTGCCTGCTGCGTTGATTATACATGCAATATAAGACAATTTATCTATTTATATAAGTACGCATACATTGAATCAAAGTAATTAAGATTGAGGAGGGGGGGGGTTTCGTTAGTTGGTTTTCCCTTTTGCTTACTGCTTAGTGTAGCAAGGATGTGCATACGAAGTAAGAGAAAAAACTGATGGTCTACTGCATAGATACACATGTGTATAAAACAATAAACATATAGGTAAGAAAAAATGTGTGAGAGTGAAGCGTAGTATTCTCATAAATATTTTTTCCAACAGTATCGAACATGAAATTTGATGTCGTATTCCCATTGTGCACACTATCTAAAAAAATTGAAAAATTGAAGACTTGGAAAAGCCAGTTTTATGTGTCTTTTTCGGGAGAACGGAATTTCGGCCCAAGGAATTTTCGGGCCGGACTTTCGGCCCGGTCCGAAATTCCGGAGATTTTTCGGGCCGGTCCGAAAGTCCGAAAGGAAATTCGGCCCGGCCCGAAAANGTCGCTTCGCTCAGTACTACGACGCTTCGCTCGGTACTAAAAGAATCTAGAAACCAATTCTCAAAAAAATTCGTTTTTTCTCCGAGTTTAATGAATTTGTATAAAATTGGTCCGAAAGTCCGGCCCGAAAATTCCGTGGGCCGAAATTCATGTAACCCTCTTTTTCCAGTAAACATATATATATATATATGCTTGACAATGTCTTTTGAAAGGTCATACAAACATTGCTATCTGATAGAGAATAGCGACGATATATCAATATGGGGTGTGGGTGTGAATGTGACAGCGCAGGTAAAATTGTTGTCAGTTCTCGACACATCCACACCTTCAAGATATGGGATGAGTTAATAATGCTTTAGGACTTTCGGAAAAACTAGCGCAGAGTCTGTTCTAAGAAAGATTCTAAAAATCGAAAAACATCAAATTCAAGACGAAGATCTACTCTATATTGGTTGTGAAGAAAATCTTTTTCTATCTTCTAGAATGACGAAGACAGAGCGAAAAGGGCAAAAATGGTACGTTCTTATCCTGTATTTTGTTCTGTTTCGTATTTGTTTTCTCTTTGAATTCGATACGCTTGTCATTATCGATTATAGAAACAGTTATTCATCGACGAAAGACTGCATACTTCCGTTTTCAGACTCAAAAATATCCTGTCGTCATTCGTCTAGTATCGTCACGGGATTTCTTTATGCTATGACATTCAGTAATAAACATGGTATGGATATTTGCAAACGAAAAATTATGAAATCTTTAGGATGTAAGTGTTCTGACTATGTTATAGAGCTGTACTCACACCCTCGTTTCTTTGCATTTCTCTTTTATGTTTACGTTTGTGAACATCCAAAATACAGTTGCGAACAATAAATAAGTATCAACAAAGGTTTTACTTTAAAATATTTGTGCCAACTTATAGTGAGAAAGTTTAACGCTATTTGAACATTTGCAATTTTTAGAATTTTTAGTCTATATGTATTATTACACTATTAGATATAATTAAACTTTTCAAGCTTTTATATTATTATTTTTTTTGGGTTACATTGAATTACAACTTTTAAAACTGTTTACTCGTTTACATATTATTCTCGTGGGCGTGGATGTCATGAGGGTATATATACTAACCCACACCCACACTTTTTCGAATATATGGAAATAGACTAAGAACAAAATTGAGGCTGAACTAAACGAACAAAGGGAAGATAATGACTGATCTCTTGCGAAATAATAAGCAATACTGATAATATGTTCTGCGATGGAAAATAAAGGGAAGCACCTTTAAAAGTCAGATAAATATAAATTAATGACTATATTTTTGTACTAAAAACAATTTTTTGTAAAATTGAACGAGTGCAAAAATCTGAAAAATTTCAAGATTTCACCAAGTACGAAAATTCCTTTTGTATTGCTTATCAAAGTGTTGTTCACCGTAGGAATGAACCCTTGTAGCACGGGAAAGACAGAGACTGTACAGGAACAAAGAAACCAAATTTGGTATTTTTTGTAATTTTATTTCAAGATTCTTTTGTCTTATTGTAAAGCAAAATATTGGAATAGTTACTATGATTAAGATGTTATTCACTGAAAAACCCTGGTAGTCACAGTTATCAAGATGTGTTATCAACGATCAAGGGGGAAAAGCGCGACTTCAGTACTTCGAAGTACAGCGGAAGTACATGGAAGTACAAGGAAATAAGAGTGGTGTATGGGAGTCGCGCTTTTTCTCCCTTGACAACAATACTATTATGAATTCGTTTCGTTCGGGCAGAGTATTGATGACTGATGAACGACAATTCTCTGCTTAGATCTATGCTATTCGTTTGATCACTAATTACATCAGTCACCCTTTGCTGAGAAGCCAAGATGTCCATGTATGTAACACTTCACTATTCTTCCTTCAATCAGTCTCCGCTTCCTAAAGCAATTTGAATGTTTGCAATCTCGAAATATGTAAATTTTCCTTTCACGACAATCATTAATTGATTGCATGGATTTCAAAAGAAAAACAAATTTCTTCGTGCTCATCGATATTGTCATCGTCACTGAATGTAACATAGTATCTGTTGAACAAAAGATACTTGTGGGACAAGATTTTCAGGGAAAAATCTGAGCACAACCGAAAATAGTGAATAGGTATTTAGATGAAAATTTCCCTTTGAATTCCGAAATATATAACTCATTTGATGATTCTTCTTGTTATGATGGCATTGGAAATTAATATTTTTATACATTTCTTCATTGCTAGAAAACATCTCAGAAGCTATTGTCATCTATTCTGATTTTATATGAATTTCACTAAATTTCCTGTCATGTTCTCACAGCTTTTGTTGTTTCAACGAGCAAGAGTTCACCACAAAACGATGCCCAGCTGCATGAAGGACGATTGGACTACCAATCACTAGTTCAGTGCCTATTGCTACGTCGGGATCTGGTAGAAAATAACGTCATAGGAGATATGTCACTCATTATGTTAATTACTATAATATACTCGTTGCGGTTCAGATAATCGTAAAATAATTTGTGACTCACACCCACACCCTTCGACTATTGTAATCAGTTACTTCCATCTTGATTGAAGGACACAATAGAAAGTGAGCGCAAAATGTTTCATAATCGAACTCTATTCGACTAAGGCATGAATTGCCTCTTAATTACAGTTGCTAGACTTCAGTTGTGGCTTTTATCTTTGTTTTAAAAAGACATTCGTACAAAATAAAAAAGACAAAATAACGCTAAAAAATGGACTTATCGAAAGTTGCTACAAAGCTCGTCTCAGCCATAAACTTCCGATCTACTTCGAGTATCGCTTTGCCTTCGTATTGTTTGATGCATTGCATGATGAAAACTTGCGGAATGTACTTTAATTCACGATGGATGATCACTGATTCATCCGTAGGACTAAAGTGTTCCTTGACAAAATAATTGTATTTAGGTAACTTGACTAATCGGAAAGCGAGCACTTTGAAAAATGTACCATGGTAGCGGCCAAACAGATTATCGTACATATCTCGATCATAAGGAATAATAAATTCGTCGCCAGATAACATAACGATTTTATCATATGGTACGCTCATTTCGTGTAACACCTTGTGGATAAAATATTCAGATAACGAGTTTGTGCTTTTCCTAATACTGGCCTTTGAAAATGTGATTAGTCGAAGAAACTTTGAGCTACTGAGTGTAGTAATCAGTTGTTCATCGCAGAAAGTATTGACAAATTCTTGCCAAGTGGCTGAGTTTCGAAAAATCTCCGGATAATAGTGTTTTAAAACATTATAGTACGCTTTGTTGATATCGACAGAAATGAAAAGTTTGTCGTGATTTTCGGGTGTGTATACAGTTGTTTTAGACTTGTATTTACTCGCCTGGATAAAAGCCATCTCTTCATCAAACACACGCTGTTTAAATGCCTGCACAGATGGATGCTCGATCAAGTAATGAATAATATTTTCGGATATTCGATTGATGCGATCATTCAGTTTGTAGATGGTTTCATGTGCCTCGATGTCTCTAAAAAATTGCGCGAACGTTGCGCGACAACCTGTGTAAGGGTCCAATACATCGAGATAGTAATCGAAGAACATATTGTTAGTAAGAGGCAGAGGTAGTTGCGTATATTTTTTAAATGACAGTACAGTTAGATGATCTACGAGAGGTTTTCGTATCATGATTTCATCCGTTGCACCAGTCTTTTTTTTCAGTATTAAGAAGGCTTGTTTCTGTTGGCCACTGGAGTGCGAGTGTTTTTCGTAAGTTAGTCGTCCAGAGTACTGCGTATCGATGGTGTTGTACACTTTGTAGCGTCCTTTTGCATCTAGGCCTTCAAGTGTAATATGTTTGAGAGTAAGGTCTCCTTCATTGAATTCTTGAATTTCTTTCAAAACTGTTGGAAGTAGATCGCTGATCGGGATATCATGGCTCATATTGCTGCTAATTTACGTCGTTGAATTGATCGATGAAAAATATTTATATCGCAGTAAAAGAATGTCGCTGCCAAAAATAATTGTCTAATATATATATATGTGAAGAATCTGATGCAACCCGACGCACGATAGTGTAATCTTATGCATAGAAGTTCCTTTATTCAAATGCATGGCAGCAAGTAATGACGGTTTCAGCAATCTATTGTGTGAAAGAGAAACGGACGGTGACGAAGGTCTTGAGTAATACATGATGAAGGATAGTGGTAGTAAATATTTGACAGAAGAAGAAAAAACACACAAAGCAAACCGTTACATCATTGCATAATTCATGCTACCTGTATGTTTACCTCACGTGTAGTGAGATGAATCTTGGTTTTCAACAATCAATTATAAATAATATGCTTTATCAATGAATAATTTAAGAAATACAGAGTTTTATTTCGCCGAAGTAATTGTTCTCATTTTATTAATATATTCAAATACACTTCAGGACTTTGCATAACTAAAAAGCATAAGGGGAAATATTCAAAAAACTGAATAACAGCAGAAAAAATCATGCCAAACTGCACTTTAATGTGAGAATTTGTTTGTGGCACTTGTTCTATTATTTAGATTCAATCGCTCTATCGTGTTCCACATTTTATTGCTGAAGGAATTTAGCTGGGTGTGGGTGTTGGTATGAGTTTTATACGATCAGTAGAATGGAGAATAATTCATACTAGTACATTAGTCGATCCAGTCCGATTTTACTTTTTGGATGGATACTGTTATTGACCAGGTGAAAATCCTGACTGTTACAATTCTGTTTTTATCCCTTCTATTCTCTTGCACAATCTATAATGACAATGCTTTAGAATAAGCAGCACTCCTAGGCTAGAACCAAACAATGTGAACGAGAATCGAATTGAGGAGACATCCATTTTCTTTCCTTTATGGTGCGAGGTGCATGACCAGACATGTTTCTATAATTATTATTACCAATATTTTCTCGTTCTTTTCTTTTTGCCTTGCCATGAGCTTTCCTTCTTTGTATTGATACTTACTTCGTCCTTTTTGCAAACACACCGCATATCAGAGAGGAAAAAGTAAAATGGCCACCGATAAGAGATCTATCAAGTTATACGGTATGACAATGTCTACGTGTACTCGAAGAGTTCGGTGTTTCTTAGAAGAAATGGGATTACCCTATGAAATTGTTCTGATTGATTTGAGCAAAGGTGAACACAAACAACCAACTCATCTTGCTATCTAACCATTTGGTCAAATTCCAGTACTTGAAGATATTTCAATCAAGAGCCATCATGCGATACTTGCTGAAGAAACATCCAACCGAAGGTAATCATCTAGTTTTCTGGAAAACTCTTACGGGATATTCTGAAAGCAAATGCGTTTTATTGATTTTTTTTCTATATACCATCTAGATGCAAAGCTGGAACCACTGGATGCCAAGATTTATGGTCAAATGGAACAATGTCTCAGCGTCGAATCTGAATATTTCAATCGTGAAGCTGCTCCTCTCATCTGGGAAATGCTGTGGAAACCAAAACTGAAGCATTTAGGCGAAGTTGATCAAAAACTTGTAAGGACAAAAAGAAGAACTTGAAAGGTGTCATAGAAATTCTCGATTCTCATTTGTCAAACAATCAATACCTTGCTGGAAGTCAATTTATTTTGGTTGATACTAGTTATTTCCCTTATACAGAAAATTTGATCAGAGCTGGCGTTCGGGATCTTCTACATTCCTTTCAGGTCGTTATTCACAAAAAATGACTGTTAAATATAAATTCTAGCTACACTACTTATGCTGAAACAAATTGGTATAAAACTAAACAAAAGGTAAATTTCATACCGAGCAAGAAACAAATCTAATTTAGATGATACTTTAAAAAACCTACGGTAGTTGTTAATATTTGGTGCTGTTATTTACTTCTTCTTCTTCTTTATCATTCTGTATTATTTTGAAACAGAATGAAAACATATTGTTTCACTGTTTTTGATTCTCGTCGAAATCAATTCTTTTTGTGTTTACAGAAGGTAGGAACGAGCGAGAAAGTAATGGAAAATGGTGGTCATTTTCTAACGTTTATAGCAATCATTAGATCGTTCCTTCGCCGTTATGTGCTCAAGATCAGTTAATAACAGCAAAAAGTCAAAATTTGAAAAGTAATACTTTTCTCAGTTCTACTTATCATTCCGTTGATAAACATTAAATATTTCAATAGTGAAGAACATGTGGTGTATGTCTCCAGCACGATGTGTACTTTTTCATTCTTCTTGTTATCTTTTATTGCTTAGTCATCTAAGTGACTTTATTTGTAGGTGAATATAGAAGAAACTCACTGGGTAAAAGCCACTGTGTGTATCATTATTCCCAGTTCTGTTCCTTTAAATATGTGTTAAACTATAAGTAAATTAACAATAAACTGACACAACATTTTTAGGCAATTTCGATTTCATTGCGAGAAAAGAGTCGAACCACAACAAAAACGTTAAATTACAGAAGTATGAGCAAAGTTATTACGGGTAACGTTTCTAAGTTGGAAACACTCTCAAACGAATTGTTAGTTGACATATTCGAATACGTGGCTCCACGAGACTTAATGTATGGCTTGTGGAGCTTGAACCATCGGCTGAATGGAATTGTTAGTTCATCCAAAATATGTTTGAAGATATTTAAAAGATATCACAAATCAAGGTAATTTGTTTTTTGTTCATTAGGAATTTCTCTTAATAAAAACATGATAGCACGTATAGTTGTGTTTAATTGATTCTCGGGAACACTTTACAAACAGCATTGGATATCCTGTTGAATCAAACCACGTTTTTTTTTGAAGATATTCAACTAGTACATAAAATTCTGATAGCTTTTAGGCGTAATTGAGAAATTCATTTTCATAGAGAAAAACACATAGATATGAGTAGTAGACTAGATGATTAGCATGTGTTGACCGTTGTACTGCTTAATTAGGATTATTCATATTAAAAATTCAATATATTGAAATTTTGCGTCGCAAAAGATATACGAAAAAGTCTTTCGGGACACAATTCGAGACTTGACGGCAATTGATGTCTTTTATTTATATTTTCAGTTCTCAAGTCCATGATGAACTGGAGATTTTCAAGTTTTTCGCACCGCATATCTATTCACTTCACATTGATTACGCTGACACTCATGTCGATTTACATCAATGTTCTCAACTTCTGGCACTTGAAATGTGGTCTATGGACGAACAGTATTCTACTGCTATTCGACCTTCAATAATGCCTTATCTTGAACGTCTTGTCACAAGAGACTACATTTGGGACCACGAACATTTCTTTCATAGACTTGCCACAGAACCATTTGCCTTACTAACAACGTTAAAATTCGGCGACTTGGAATTTGAACCAAAAGCAAATTATAAACCATTAATGTTTGTAAGATCTGTCAGTGGTATTTGTTGTATGTGGGACGATTTTAATAATGTTCTTGCTGTTTTTCCTCAATTACGTCGACTAAGTTTGTCTCTTTACGCTTATCGTGAAAATCCAAGATGGGGTTCGATTGCACCATTAAAATTAACTCTCAATAATCTTTCCGTGAAATTTTCAAGTGAAATGGTTACACCCGATGATGATCCACCTTTTCATCTTATGATTAATACACGTTTACGTCATGTTAAATTGAATGCATCGATATCGAGACAAAATGACAATCTACTATTGATTGACATTTTACCGCCAATTGTTCAACGAATTGAAAATGTTATTGAGCAAAACACAAATGAAGAGATGAATGCCGACAATAATCATGATAATCTAGAAGCACTAGTAGAAGCTCATCTGGCTTGTCAAAATATTTATCTATGTAATTTATATATGTCGGATGTTGGCTGGGGATATATTGATACTGAAAGTTGACTTGAAACAATAAACCGCTACAATTATCCCATAAAATTCAAAGATAATTGAACTGTTTTCTATTTTTTGACATATGATTCGTCATATGCTCGGTTAATTGATATCGTTACTAAATTATTTTATTCATTAGAATTCAAATTGAAGATGATACCTACTTTAGTAAAACATAAAATTTCAATTGCATCGTTCGCAACTTTTTATTTTTCATATATATTTTTATATTTTGAAGTATCGATCAAGAAAACTTCATTTCCGTCATGAACTATCACGACTTATTCTTACGTTAATATATTTCAATAAAAAACTTGTTAGCTAGCGCTGTCTCCTTGGGACAAAAGCATTGACCTCACATACGTATATCTCTCATTAGGTTTACAAAATTAATGTGAAATCGCTCTAGGGAAAAATTTACTTTATTTTCTAACATCTATATTAAGTGTGGATTACCAACTCAAATGGGGTTAATTAATCGAGTCACCATTAAAGTAGTTTGTTAGGATAAAATTCTATATCTAGAATACATCAAAATTGATTCGATACTTTTCGGTTAAGACTTTTATTCGAGGAAAATAGTCGTCGGCGAAAACAAAATCGGTGAGCCTGTATTAATTCCAATTTTCGACTACTTTTAGTAGTAAATTTCATTATGATAGTTATGGAAATGCGGGCTATTCCTGACGCTGTTTTTATATCATTGAAACGAAGCGCCTCTTTTAGTTTTTATGGCGCACACATCGATCTTGTTAATCGACAAATACAAATATTTTTCTGTTTTTCGATCGCCATGAAAAATCAACAAAGGATGCATCCAAAGAATCAGCAGCATTTCTCTGGCTTCCGCTCTTCAACTATGTAATTGCGCGTCATCCACGAAATCAGTCCAAAGAATGTTTTATTTATAAGTTAACAGATAAAGCTTTGAGAATAGAAGATATTGATCTTCTTTACACATTTCGATTTTTCATTGGTGACCTCTCTCAAAGTCTACAAAACTAACATAAGAAAATTTTATCATTAAAAGAAAAAAATCTACGTGTACCGTGGAGTTAAAGTTGACAAAGAAAATAAAGGCAAACTCATTTCAACCATTGGTTATTTACCAACAAGTCGAAAAGAATCATCAGCATTGAAACCAACTAAAAGATTGGATGTCGTATCTGTTCTATTTCATATTCAATCTGATATTAGCGATTTTAATCAATATCCACGCGAAGAAGTTTTATTCGATTTAAATGCTTGTTTTCTAATTGAATCAATTGAAGAACATGAATCTTTCCGAGAAGAAAAAAAATAATCAATTTCAATTACTTTCGGAAGATTATTATGTGGTTTAGGTGAATTTGATAAATCACGAAAATACTTTGAACAACTATTGAATGATTCTCAAGATGAAGATCTTGCTTGAGTTCATTGATTCAAAGGTGGACGGGATGAAACTCTCGATTATCATCAACGACCGTTGGAAATCAAAGAGAAGCTTTTTCCACCTGAACATTCAGATCGAAAGAAGTACTCTCGTCAGCTAAATGTTCGCTTACAAGTTGTTGTAAAATATTTCTCAAAGATATTAATATATGTCCCTTTACTGAAGAAGTTTTCGAAAGCTTGAGCATGAACATTTTATGAAATATTATTCTATCTCAAACTAGAATTGAAAATAGTCATGTTTGATTGATAATAGGCTCAAGATTAAAGACTTGATTATCTTGAACTCCGCTTTTCAAATCAATATATATTTTCTTTTGCCGATAGATTAAAATTCAATAAATTCATAGAAATTCGATTTTATTGAAGCGCAGAATAATCGGCTATTAATACGCATGGTGAAAAAAGTCTGTATTCACGTGAATGATATTATTGTCTCAACAGCCATCCAACCAGAAATAGTGCTCATGGATTGGTGGTTTTAATCGAATTCACACGTTAATGCAGAAAATATTTTAAAAAGACAAAAGCGACATCTATAAACAAATATACATTTAAATGTCAGTTGAGTAAGAAAAAACAACACAGTTAGATTGATTCATTTTCTTGTTCGTGATGTCACAATATGGACATATTGTATTAACTTTAAGTGATGTTTTATTACCATCAGAAAAACTTTATCCAAATTCGACACCGTCAACGAGCGAAGGTCTACCATGGGATATTGAGTACGATTTAAGACTAATCGGTTGTGAACTTATACAAACAGCAGGTTTACTGTTGAAATTACCACAAGTAAGTTTTGAAATATTCGATGAAAAAATCATCCTAGTGTAATTATCTTCTATTAGACAGCTGTAGCTACTGGTCAAGTGTTATTTCATCGTTATTTTTATTCATCATCATTTATTCGTCGTCGAATGGAAGTAGTAGCGATGGCATGTACTATTCTTGCAGCTAAAATCGAAGAAAATGCTCGACGTGTACGAGATGTTGTTAATGTCTTTCATCATATTAAACAAGTTCGATCGGGAAGGTAAATATAAATCTAAGACGTTTGATGGTGGAATATTTAATTAATTGTTTAGCATAATTCAACCATTATTAATCGATCAAGCTTATGTAGATAAAAAAAAAGAAGTGATCAATGCTGAACAACGACTCTTACGAGAACTTGGTTTTTGTGTTTATGTCAAGCATCCACATAAAGTAAATTCGTTGGATTTATTTTATTTTTTATTAATTTTTGTATACATACATTAATAGATGATTACAATGTATTTGAAAGTACTTGAAAAAGAACGTGAAAAAGATTTGGTACAAACTTCTTGGTAAGTATTTTCATTCTATGTCTATCCGTATCTTTCAACAACGAAAAAAAAAATGATAAGGTTATATTTAAAAACAAAACAGCAGCAGTATGTCGCTCGAAGATTTTTGCTCGTGTTTTCTTAGTTGATAATGAATTGGAGTTTTCTTTTCAGAAGATTAAATAAAGAAAGTATGAAGAAAATTTATTTGATAGATTTTCCCTCTCTTTCTTTCTTTCTGATGGCTAATATCGACTTTTAAAATTAACTTGTTTCTTGTCTTTCGTCCAGGATTTATGGAATCATGCGTATATAACCGTTGATTCAACCGGAATATATATACTAACAGACAACGTCGGGGCGTTTTAATCAACACTCGATTTTGATTTTGGATATGATCAAGTATCGGTCGGTATATGTATATTATTTTCAAAAACAAACATTTATTTGCTTGAAATATGTTCTCTCTATTTTCTAGTTTTATCGAAGGCAATACATTTTTAGAAAATGAACAAAGCTGGGAAAAAGATTCTGGTTGAAAAATCATGACCTATGTTTTATTTATAGAAATATAATCTATTATCTTTGATACATTCGATAGCTTTTTTTTCGGAAATCTATGACATATCATACGTCTTTGTATATTTATAGAGCATTTCCGGAGCACATATCTTGGGTATAAAATCAATTGAATTGAAAAAGATGATTGATATATAACAATGCGATTTCTTGTAGATAAAATCTTTTCTTTCAGCTTTGTTCATTTCTCTAGATAACAAAATGATTTGCTAGTTTTAAAATTTTGAGAACATATTTAGTTTTTATTTCTAATTACCGAAATACCGATACTTGATAAAAAAAAACAAGAATAGAATTCAGTTTTTCTTTTATATTGATGAATAGAAACTTATGATTTCATTTGGTTCGTTTCAGGAATTATATGAATGATAGTTTACGAACAGATATTTTTCTACGTTTTACTCCTGAAACAATCGCTTGTGCTTGTATTGATTTAGCAGCACGAACTCTTCAGGTAGGAAAAATTGTTCTAATCGATACTTAATTTCATTTCTAAATCCAATAGATTCCTCTACCAAAAAATCCACCCTGGTATCTTATATTTGGTGCTAAACCGGAAGAAGTTCATTATATTATGATTTCTATTATTCGCTTATATCAACATCGACCAGTAATAAACGAAATAATTTTCTTGATTTAATTTTCATTTTTGTTTTGTTTAAGAAATCAGTCGAGGAAATCGAAAAAATTCTGAATACATTTCGTGAAAAACGTGAAGATGAAAGAAAAAAACTACGACCGGATTTCGGTAGTAACTCGCCAGCTCAACAACCATCTACAGAAATTTCTATCACATCAACAGTGGCTTCTTCTTCGACACCGCCTATTATTGCGCAACCACCACCACCACCACCAGGTAAAAAAAAACCAAAAAAGACTTCGTTACTTTACCTGTTCTATTTTATTCAGCACCTGTGATTACAACAATAACAACAACTACTACTACTGATGAAACAATAGATATAACTACGATTACCAATGGTACAACATCGAAAAAACCTGATACTACAAGTTCACGCGAATCATCAACAGTGAAAAATCATCAACATCGTCATAGAAGAAAACATAGTAGTTCTCGGAGCAGGTAAATTATCGCCTGACGAAGTTCAACTATCTACAGTTATAAACATTTTACTAAAATTTTAACCCGAAGACCTAAGGCGATTAATTCTTTTGGGATTTTTCATGTCTCAATAGAATTCAAACAACAGAAAAAATGAATTTTAATTTTTTTCTTTTATTTAGATCTACATCACGGTCATTGTCTCGTTCGCCAAGTCATCATTCGCAGAAGAAAAAGAAAAATTCGATTCGCACTATTTCACGATCTCGGTATGCATAAAAATTGATCCATGTTTTTTTCTATTAATATTTATAATTACAGATCATCGTCACGTAAAAGGCATAGACATCAAAAAGACAAACACCAACATAATAATCACACATCGAATAATCACCATAAAAAAGATAAAAAACGCCAGTCACGTTCTTCATCACGTGATGACAAGTAAATAAATCCTTAGTTTTGAAAAGCTTGAATTATTTCATTTTTCATAGACGGTATTCGAACAATAAACATTCGTCATCAATCAAGGATAAAAATAAATACCATCATTCAAATAAACAAACCAACGGTGTTTCTTCATCCTCGAATAAAAACTTCAATATAAAATTAAAATAAACTAGTCATATTATGTGTATAAATTTATAATCCTGCATTGTTTCTTTCTATATAACTGTATCTTCTATAAAGAAAATAAAGAACGATCGGAAATAAAAAAAATGGATTCATTTTTTGTATTTTTCAAAAAAAAATAGTTTTTTTTTTAGATGATTAGTAGATTTTGTTCATGTCGACGTCATCCAATCGTTTAGAAATACGTTTAAAAGAACGTGAAGATGAATATATTCGTTATGAACGATTTCATGTTCTCGTTGGAACATTTAATGTTAATAATAAACAAACACCACCGAATATTTTACTCGAACAATGGCTTAGTCAAGTAACGGAAAATCAAGAAATTGAAAAAAGCACGATTCCAGATATAATTGCAGTGGGTTTTCAAGAAATCGATACAAGTGGTGGTGCATACATTTATGATGATAAGAAAAAAGAAGATGACTGGGAGCATATTGTAAGAAAAACAATTGCAGCTTGCTATGAAGAAAATAATAAAAAAGATATTCAATTTACATTACTTAATCGAATTAAACTAGTCGGTAAGTAGAGTCTTTCTCGCCGAAAATTTTACTAATTGTTACTTTCTATTTAAGGTATATTATTATTTGTCTATGTACGTTCAACTCATCTAGCTAAATGTACGCTAGTATCGAATTCAACAGTTCCGACTGGTTTTATGGGTATTGCTGGTAATAAGGGTGGAGTCGGTGTTCGATTTCGTTTCTATGAAACTGATATATGTTTTGTGAATTCACATTTTGCATCGGGTGACGGACAAAAAGAACGCCGTAATGAAGATTATCTAACCATCGAAACCCGTATGGCATTTACTGATGGACCTATTTATTCATTGAAAGATTACATTTGGTATACACCGGCAATAGTTGGTGGCAGTGCTCCTGCTAATCCGCAGAATTCATCGAATTATAGTCAGTGGTAAATAATTTAATAGAATCGAAACGTTAGTGCTATTTCAGAATGTGAAAGTGCAGTACCTTAGGATTCGTAAAGCAACAACTCCTTTTTAAGAAAATTCATAATTTCATGTACTTTGCCATTTCAGGTGGAAAATCAGTGATCATGATATAATATTTTGGTTGGGTGATATGAACTATCGAATCTCACAACCGAACGATCAAGTTCGTAAAGCAATAAATGAAGTGTCAATTGCTGCATTGCAGAAAAAAGATCAGTTACGTTGCGAAATGGAATTAGATCGTGTTTTTTCCGGTTATTTTGAACCACCTATTGATTTTCTCCCAACATATAAATTCGACATAAATACAGATAATTATGATACAAGCGAGAAATTACGTACACCATCATGGACGGATCGTATTTTATATCGATCAAAACGTCCCACAGTTCTTATTAATAATCAAACCGAATTAGACACTATTCAAACAATAAAATATTCTTCTATCAACAATATCAAATTTAGTGATCATCGACCTGTCAGTGGTTTATATTTAGTCGCCATAAAATATCAATGCGATGAACAACGTTCAAATCGCATTCGTGAAGAATTAATCCGTGAATTCGATCGTGCGGAAAATGAATCTATACCAACCATTGAAGTTCATCCTCGCCCCCCGCAAATCATCTTCAATCATGTTCGCTATTTAGACAAGCCAACATATCCGTTAACAATAAAAAACATCGGCGAATGTTCCTGCATATGCACCATTGTACCATCAGCAATATCATCCTCATTTCAATGTTTAACATTTACACCAAATACACCCTACACAATAAATATTAAACAACAGCAACATGTTAACATTGGTTTTAACGCAAAAACAAACCTACGACAAATAAGTGATATTATTATTTTACACGTTGAAAAAGGTGCCGATACGTTCATAACATTAGATGTAACATTAGATAAAGGTCCGTTTTGTTTATCACTCGACGATCATCCAATTACACTTTATAATAATGAAACGCAAAAATATATTTATTCGAATGATCGAAAATCTGACTCCGAGCATATTGTTGAAATGATAAATGATCCACCGATTGTTTATATTGCATTAATCGACTGTTTAAGAGAACGTAATAATGTTGATTTGTTAAATATATTCAATAGTGATACTCAAGATTCACTTGATCTTATCCCAATACGTGATAAGCTCTATGAAAATAATTATGATTTTACGAATAATTCTACCGGAGAAATTTTAATGATATTTTTATATCTTTTACAGTCATTACCTCAACCGTTAATATCATACGAAATTCAAGATAAAATATTTCCCAATACAAAAGAAACGTTATCCAGACCGGAGGATATGGCAAAGGCCGTTAGCATCATAATTGAACGATTGAAAGCAAAAGAACGAAATTTATTTTTTCGCTTTCTTTTACTTGTACAAAAATCTTGGCCAACAAAAGAACAAATTGAAAAAGCAAATCAAGAGTCGGGTGATACATTTAATATTTGTATTGATATTTTAGCGCTTTCAATTTTACACGAACATCTTGATAGAAATCAACGGCATGCGTTTATTTTAGCTTGTCTTAATGAAGAAAAGAAAAATTAGAAAATATTTATTTTTATTTTCTTTCCTATATCCATTTCTCGCAATAGTCTCACTTCTGTTTATTCAACTTGCTTCAACAGTATATGTGTTGTAGTGATCTATTTTTTTTATTGGGTCTTCTTTCAATAACCTAATAAATATTACATCGATAATTATTAAACATTTGCTGTGAATCTTTACTGCAAGACAATAGAAATTCTGTGTGTACTCTGTTACATCATCATTGTTCTCTTTGTTATAATCAAGGAATTTTATTAAGCATACGCTTACTATATTATCTGTTTTTCCAAGTAAATACGGTGTTCTACGTACGATTAGTTTCTGTCGATATTATTAATTCGTATATCATATTGAAGATCGTTTTTAATATATTTATGAACAAATTATACACGAGTTCTTATCCTCGTATTAACTATTGCTTTGATATACTTTTACTGTTATTAAAATTTGATTATGTTTAACGGAAGACCAGACAAACGATATCTAAATTTTGAAAAAAAATAGATCCTGAAAAGATATTCAGCTTTCAATATCACATTTTTAAGGGCTATTTTTAAGCTTACGAGTGACTTTTTTATCTCTTTGCAACAACTGCCAATAAATATTTTTCAATGATCTATCCTTTTATATTACTACAAAAATATTGCTATAGTCCGTCTTATCCAGGAATTTCTAATTACTGCTACAAACATACGATATACTATTTTCCCCTGTTTGATGAGTAGCATACTTCAGATAGTTTCTAAACGATCCAATATTGATTCCATAATAATTAGCTACAATTTCTAACCAAAAACTTCTGATGGAAGAATTGAAGCAAGCACTACAAAGATTTTATGTTATCTATTTTATTCGTCAAGTAGCCGTTGACAAATCACAACATTTCTTCTTGCTGAATTATACGCACGAAAGGATATGAAAATAAAAAGATTTCCATTTCTTTCGGCGGGAGAACGAACTTCCCAATTATATTAAAATAACATGAAATTTAAAGTATATTTTACCGACCAACAAAATCTTATACCCTTTATAAATAAATTCAAGGTTTTTTCAAAGAAAAGAACAAACAGTCAAAAAATGTCATCATATAAGAATCAAATTTTTCTGTTCATCACAATTCAATGAGTAAAATTTCAGACCCGAAACCAATCCGAACTCCGACCTAATGGGCTCTACTTCTTGCCGACTTATTAAATATTCATTAGCTAAGTTTCGGCGGAAGGCAAAGCTATTTTTTTACCTCAGCCGAGTTGTCCTCACTAGTTCTATTCTTTATAGATTATACCTTTTATCATTGGTCTTTTAAACAAAGTAAACAGCAAAATGATCTACTAAACTAGTGATAGATATGCGCATATCAACTCCTTTTTCTTGGTTGATCATCTTTTGCAAGTGTGAAGGTCAACGAGCTTCCATTGTGACACTCAGTATTGATAGGTGCTTGAAAGAAAAAGATCGTTCAAACTTATCCGCTTATTTTCTGAAAAGATTTACTTTTATAAATCGGACTATACAATTTCATCTGGTTCTATAGATCATATAAAAAGTTCGATTTTTACGTTGCAATTTATTAATAAATTACTTTTTCGTAAGTAATAGCGAAGGTCCAATCAGCCAGATCTTAGAACCAAGATAAAAATGGAAGTTAACAAGTCAAATGTGGATTCAGTAGTTATGATTCACGATGCACACTATAAATGCATTTTGAATTTAATTCAATAGGCATACAAATGAGCAGCTGATGTAGAAAGTAGACATTTTTTCTATTGCAACTTTACTCATATCACCACCACAGGCATTGGAAACAGAAAAGAAATAAAATCGAATTCACCATTCCTTTCTGTTTTTCGTTCTCACCAGAAATGGATGCAAGAAAAATAAATTATTTTTAACGTATCTATACAGAACAATACCACTCACGGCATGATGCAGAAGACAATCAAACAGGCGTTGGAAAGAATACCATAACAAAATGGCCTTGCTCATTTTTTTTCGTTCGCTCTTTATATAAATTCAGACTAATAATTGAAAGTAACTTCAGTTGGTGGTTGAAGTGTCAATGGAGAGAGAAAGAAAAACATAATACAACCATGTTTGACGTTATAAAAAATCGGAAACCAGACGGACGAAACGACTAATCCGAAGTCATTTGCAGTCTTTAGTTCCTGTTTTGGCTACGTAAGTAACTGGCGTCATTATATCTGTTATGCTGTCTTTTTTGAAAAAAAAAGACTAGGCATGCTGTATCGTTCTGACGCCAGTCAGAAAAAGACTTCAAAGGGAATACATAATGAATAACTTCTACGACGTTGCATCTAATAGATTGCAGTCTTATGAAGTGATCTAGTCAAGAATATTCTACATCATAGAAATATCATTATTTCCTTTTCATTTTTGAATCAGCAAAGAAAAAAAACAAGAACAAGTGAAGAAAAAAGAGACTCCATATTCATTTTAAAATTCCGACGACTTGTCCCAATACTAAAGTATGGCGATGCCTTTGAAATTCATTTTTCTTTAAGAAAAATAACACAAATCGAAGTTATTTACTTCATATATCCATAGCTATGAGAGCAAGGGGAAAAAAGCGACTCCTGATGGATTCTAGAATCCATCAGGATCCATAGAATCCATTAGGATCCATTTTGATTAATGAGTCTATCTCAATATTTTAAACAGTTTGCAGTTGCTAAGGAGAACAGCGAGACTCATATACGTAGGTTCTATGATTTTCATCGTGTTTTGAAAACATTATGAAAGTGGCCATTCATTTTTTTCAAAGATCTGGATGGTCTATATATCGTTTCTGGTATCTAAATGGTTAGAAAAAAACTTACAGATTTTGTTGTACACAAAAAGAGAAGAAGCGAAGGATTTATTTGTCATATTATTCTATGACTGGGCATGTGTTACAATAGTTCCGAAAAAATTATTTGGCCTTTTTGTAATATAGACGATACTGTTGAAACGAAGAATACTATTTTGTTTCTACCGATGACTTTGTCTGTGTATTGATTAATTCTTCATGTTAAATAGCGAAGTTCTAACAAGTACATCAGTATGACTTGGTTTGCAACGATCAGTTCAAATATATGAAGTCACGTCACTAGACAAACATTTTGTAAGCAAGATCTTGGCCAAGATACAAGGTACAGATATGTTGACAGATCTTGGAAATTTAGGTACAAGATAATGCAGTTATCTTGTACTCAAGATCTGATTACAGATCTTAAGTAAGAATTCATAATATCTTGGCTGCACACTTAGATAAAGCTTGCTCTATGTGTTGTGATTTGCGACACCTTTTTTAGACGTTCTGAAAGCATGGTTCGAATCTATCATACAGCGAAGTGTTTACTTTTTTCTTTAAAAACATGTTTTGGTATTTTTCAATTTATTTTCATTTTAATTATTCGTCTCCCGAATAACTCAAGCAAGTCAGATATTGGGATCTGACTGGCATTAAATTGGTCCGATATCCGTCAGACCAATTTAGGGTAGTCCTCTCTCGATCATGGATCGAGATTAGCATTCTCTCGAGTAATCGAGAAATAGTTCAGAAAAAATTTATTTTGAAAATTTATGTTTCGTGTGTTCCATCGTGTTGCTTAAATACGGCTGTGCATGCATAAAAAAACGGTGAACGACTAGAGAGCATATGTAAATACACTAATGATGTCGCTTTCTGTTTCGTTCAAGATCTTATCAAAAAATAATAGTAAAAGATATCTTTTCCATGATCTTGCCAAGATCTTAGGTACAGATTTATCTGATACAGTCAAGATATGTACATACCAATTGTCTTTCCAAGATCTTGATAAGATCTTACTTACCGAGCCCAAGATTTCCAGATCTTGCTTACAAGATGTTCGACTAGGGACAGCTATGTACAAGTTTTGCTTTTAAATACAGTAGTGAATGCTATAGCAAAAAAGTGAAAAATACATAAATCACTGCTACTTACTACGTAGTTAATAAATTCATCACTCTATCCCATATTTTTATGAAAGCAAAATTCAAATTTCATGTGTTTTATGAGATTTAAAAGTTATTTTTTAAACTTTTCCCTTGACAGCAAATAGAGTTGCTGGATAAGCTTGTACAGGATATTAATGATTACCAAACTTTATGTTGCGAAGACGAATATCAATCCAAGAAGCTACAATAGAAAACCTTAAAAAGCAACTTAGTTTAACGGGATAAGTCATTATATTAGACTAAAAAGAAAGCAAGCGACAGCGATAAGGAGCTGATACTGATCTTCACATATCTTCAAACATCCACGAAGGCCCATAAGAATTCACTGGAGTCCAGCAGAATCCAATAGAATTCACAGAATCCACCAGGATCCACGAGGAGCCATCATAATCCAAGGAGCCAGGAGCCGCTTTTCCCACACGTATGAGAGTATGTATGACTTCGATAAAAAGAAAATGCCCCAAACGTAAAAAATCTCTTGAAAAATACATTTTGAAAGTGTTTCTATAATTACGGATGGTACTTTAGTGTTAATTTATAGAATGAACATATATGAATCGTTTATCCGTAGAAAATAAAGATAAAATGATCAGGAGTGCAGGCGTACACGGGTAGAAAGAAAAGGAGAGGATTTTTTCACTATCTATCAAGAAGAGAGATATGAGGTCATTATACCACTTATATACCACTACAGTTTTCGTTTTGGTAGAAATTCAGAATTTGTTTTGTTAAACTAAATTTGCTGCAAATTCAAATACCCCATGAAGTCTCAATACATCCTAAGAGCTAGTGATCTACTACGGTATGCGGATGTTGGTGCGGGTTTAAGCGGTCTGTATCTATACTTACATCAGCGTCCTCATTCACACACCAATACTAGATTAATTTAGAATAATTATCGCATTTGTTCATAAGTCTTATTAAATAAAAACTTCTTACTCACGATTTTTGTGTTCCTTTATCTTTGTCGATATATTTAAAAAAAATTGAGTTGCATTTTAACTAGGGAAATAAAAATTTGACTTAATTTGAATTTTCACCACAACATACATACTATGTATATCAGATATATCTATAGCGATGCAATAGTGACAAATGTTTTCGACAAGCCACGCAGTGCAGTAGTGTTGCAGAAGATTTTTAACAAAACAGACGCGACAGCAGCACAGCGGTGACAGATTATTTTTGTAGAACAATACAAAACTGTATGAAATACTATGCATTTCGATATACTGAAAGCGGTGAAATTTGAAACAAGCATTTTGAATACTATTGTAGCAGCGGAAACTTCTTTAAAGCTGATCGTGGCGTCGCGACAGCGCTGTAGATGTTCAGACACGATCGACATCTCTGATATATATATATATCGTAAACTGAACAAATAGGAATGTTGAAATATTAGTTTCATGTTGACTTTGCTTGTTTTTATTTTGAGCAAATAGAAGTACTTGTAGTTCTTCTCGTCCCACAGAAATTATACTCATTGTTTTAAGTTAGCGAGGCTTCGACTTTTTCGGAGGCTTTTTCTCTCGTCTGCAAATTGAAAAGAACGATCTTGCGTTGACATATCGGTCTGTATGATTTTCATTGACTTTGTGCTAGTTATAGGAAATCTATAGTTGTGTATGTTAATCATGAAATGATTATTCATCGAATTGTTATTTTTACGATTAATAGTAAGGAAAAAAACCCACTTATTCATTTATTATTATTTTAGATTTAGAAATAATATTGCCATCGATTCTTACGGTAGGCATTTGCAATGCGTGTACTATTATTGCTATATTATTCAATTGTCCAATTAGCGGGTATTTACGGTACGACGAAATGAAAGAAATCGATAAAAGAAATAAATTAAAATTCTTGCATATGCTAGGTCTAGATCAATATTTGGGCTGTTTTATTGATCAAATGGAAAATCGTGACGTTGAAATATATGTTGGCGATTATGAAAAGTTAGCCTCTATACAATGTATTCACGAATGTCAAAAACGAAACTATCCTTATGCAGCTATACAATATGGTAGGGAATGCCGTTGTGGACGACATTACGGAAAATATGGCCAAGCATTGGATGACGAATGTAATTACTTATGTGCAAGTTCTGAAAAATGTGGCGGGAATAATCGAAATAGTGTTTATAATGCAATTAAGTCAGTTTACTTATCTACCACAGGTATTTTCATTTTTAAATGTTTTGAAATTAGTTTGCTTCTATGAGAAATAAAATTCAATACTCTTTTAGATTTCATATGTTTGAATACGATGGCCGGTTATCAAGGTTGTTTCGATAACGTAACCTTAGATGTAGTGATGGGGAAGGTGAACTCGATCGAACAGTGTGTTACATATTGTGCTACACACTATGGTTATGCAGGCATAATGAATGGGTATTTTCTCTTACTTCCAGAAAATGCTTTTAATTTTTCTTTGGTTTTATTAATAAGATTGATGTCAAAATACTCAAGAAACCGGTGTCAGAATTGATAAGAGAAATTTGATTTAACTTAGCTAACATAAATCGTTACTCATAATTTTAAGTGTATTCTCCCAAAAAGCTGACAAATTTTAGTAGATTTAGTTGTACGTTAGTCGTGATACAAAAATGAAGAAAGAAAAAAAGATTACCTTTGGTTTTCGACTACCTTGCAGTGTAAGTAGCTGTCTGAGGATAATTTCAAAAATTCCAATTTTCTTTGCTGCAATATTACTAGCTGCAGCCGTGAAAAGCAGGCCTGCCTGGTTCATAGCTTATTTTGCATAATTGCCTAAGCTTTCCATGTATACTGACTATAAAAACATACTAGCCACAAGAGCTTTTTTGTTCATGTTAGTAGCTTGTTCAATGTTATTCTATGAATGATGGCATAAGAGTTTGAATGTGATATCTGGTGGATAAAGGGTGCTAGCTAAGTTCTGATTCCCTTATTAATTTTTCTTTTTTCACGTCATTGTTTGATTTGAAACGCTGATATTTACAGTACATATCCATGATATGAAGACCTATTATGTACCAAAATTTGGGCTTTATACTCTTTATTAATATCAGGATTAAAGTATCAGAAAAGACAAACCAAAAAAAAATTCATTCATATCGAGCAGTTTTAAGAACTTGATTACAATAAATAACTGAACTGGTCTTAGTCGAAAACCAATTAAAAAATCAAAAAGTTCGTTTGAATAAAAAATATTCTATAAAATTATCTTGTGTCTGCTTCTAATATACTAGTACAAATTGTTGTTTCTACACGTGATGTTCAAAAGGATAAAAGAATACTATATATTTTTTCAACACAAATAAACATCAACAAACGATAGAACGCAAAAAACGAGTTAGCAACTCATTATTGATTTCAAAATGAATGATTTTCGTAATAAATACAAGTTTTCTGAACCAAAATGATCACAATTAAAATGCAAAAATTTGCTTTATTTTTTTCTGAAATTTGGAATGCAATATTAAAAAAGAGTATAAAGCCCAAATTTTCGTACATAATAGGTCTTCATATCATGGATATGTACTGTAAATATCAGCGTTTCAAATCAAACAATGACGTGAAAAAAGAAAAATTAATAAGAGAATCAGAACTTAGCTAACACCCTTTATGTAGCGAATATCTTAACTAGGGGTGAGAAGTTATTGTTATTTTGTTGTTATTGATAACAATAACAATAACTTTTTTTGTTATTGCTATTAATAACAAAGTAATAACAAATAACTTTATTTTTTAAAGAAGCTTCAATTTGAATTGCTGCCTGTCTCAACTATGCTAATTCTGTCGGGTTATGCTTAAGGAATGAGTTTACTACTGCTATGAATGCAATCGATCGAGACATTGGAGAGTTTGCATCGATCGCATGGATGAATACTTTACACTTGTTTTTTTGACTGTTTAAAGCAATAGAAGCTGACTGACTTCTCAGGAAACTTTCATGATTCGAATCCATTGAACCCTACTTGATGCGATAATATAACTGAAGTTCAGTAAACTGGTTGAACAAGGGAAGAATTTTCATTTTCAAAAACTTGATAAATACCTCTGCCAACGAATGATTTTAGTTTAAAATTCTTACATATTTTTTAGGAATAATTGGTTTCTTCATGCAGCAGAGCTTGCAATAATAATTCGAAACGGTTGGTACATTTTCTTAGAATAAATAAAATCATTGATAATGTGGGTGTGGGTAGGTATGGCGAAAGAAAGACATACGCCCACAACCTTGTTCGTATATTATAACAATCGTGATCTTTAAAAATAAGTATTGGTCTATATACAAGCGCCATATGCTTCTAAATTACGATCAATCGTTGGCAGAGATATTTATCAAGTTTTTGAAAATGAAAATTCTTCCCTTGTTCAACCAGTTTACTGAACTTCAGTTATATTATCGCATCAAGTAGGGTTCAATGGATTCGAATCATGAAAGTTTCCTGAGAAGTCAGTCAGCTTCTATTGCTTTAAACAGTCAAAAAAACAAGTGTAAAGTATTCATCCATGCGATCGATGCAAACTCTCCAATGTCTCGATCGATTGCATTCATAGCAGTAGTAAACTCATTCCTTAAGCATAACCCGACAGAATTAGCATAGTTGAGACAGGCAGCAATTCAAATTGAAGCTTCTTTAAAAAATTAATTTATTTGTTACTATTTTGTTATTAATAACAATAACAATAAATTCACACCCTTAATCTTAACCGTTCAACCATAGCAATCTACGCGAAAATGAAAATTAACATGTAGGTTTACAGAATCTGACATTTTCTACATAGTATCCGTAAGCATGTAGTATAAAGGTGATTCATGTTTGAATGGCGATTTGAGACTTGATTTAACAAGATTTCCTATTTTAACATATCTTCAAAAATCGAAGAGGTGCAACCAAAACTTTGGTTAGCTGAAAATCATTTTGGTGCTCATAGAAAACGAATAAATGCATGTCTGCCCAATGCGCCCGGTAGTTTTGCCTTTGAAGCAATCTCTTCTATGTCGTTTCATCGTGCATCACGCATAGTGCGCATAGAATTCTACATTTCTGGTCGTCAATTGTTTCTCGAAAGTTTTGCTATTATTTACCACACGTATGGTCTACTAACACACCAGCTGGTATAATGAAGGCGCCACTCAAAACCCCACCAAGATCCCCTTTGTAAAACATAAGATTTCACACCATCTTACTATAATTATCGTCTGCAATACTATCAGCTTTGTCTAAGACACTATAGACATTTTTAGGGATGATAATCATCTTCACATTCTCAAATACGCCCACGTCGTTAGGTAGACACTTAAAGTTCAGATAACGAATAACTTACACTAAACTCAGTCGAATCCCTAAGCATTTTCGAGATACATACTTCAATTTTTGCGTAAGAACGTAGTTCACTTCATTCTCTACTTCTTTGAAGTGATTTGATGTTGATATTTGGATACCCGCTCCTTGGGTATTGTGTCATCTACGATTGATAATGACATGGGAAACTGCATCTCCAATAAAGTTCTCGTTTTTTCTCATTAGTTATTTATGTTATTGTGGCAATCATTTGAATCGTTCACCAACAAATTCAATTTTATGTAATATTACCTGTAATAGAAAGTCAAATGTTAACAGTGCACATTGTTGTGGTGGACTTCATGGCCTCAGTATTTATGATGTTCAGAAATATCGTAAGAATTCATGAGCCATAAAAAGGAATTAGATTATCCGTGGATATTATTGCTCTTTTTTCACAATCACTTTCAGTTAAATACACATATGGACCGAAAACCCGAAGTACGTATCTTTTCCATGATTATGTTGCTATTCAAATAGCACTGTATACAGCGAAAAAGTTGATTCAATATACAGTGCACAGTTTCGAAAAGCTTACTCATTATTCTTCAAATATTTAGTGAGAAGAGACTATGGTAAGATGATTAGATAATATATCTTTCGTGAGGCTTCCAGCTACCACTTGTCTAGTTTTAATCACACGGCCTCTGCCGCTGGCACACGCGCTACTAATAAAAGTGGTAGATCTTTTACAAACAAACACGAACATAATCCTGAAAAACCACACTAACAATTCAACCACGGGCCTACAGCAACACTAACCATTTAATATGCAAAGCAAACATCACGCTACCATGACAATTTACTATGCGTACTTATATATCTGCTAAACTACATACAACAATGCCAAACTAAATCAACCAAAACCGGCCTACTTATCAATAACTCCATATAATAATATTCATAACAAGAAACAATTGATTTCCACTAAAAACAATTTCAGGTTATAACACCTATACCACCACGTCCGTCACCACAGCAACACTAACCCCACCTGAAACAGCAAATGACACCAACGTAACCACAACTTCAACAGCAAACTCAACTGTAAATGCGATCCCTATCGAATTGAAAATAGCAGCCAGTGTAACCAACACAACAACGACCGAAACAGAGACCACCACAGCCACGACTGGTATAGCAAACGAGACAATCACCGAACCCGAGACAACCGCAGCTACGACTGTCAGAGAAAACGATACAACAACCGAACCACAGGCAACCAGCGACGCACAGACAACCAGCCAAGTACAGACAACCGCAGCAACGACTGCTGTAGCGAACGAGATATTGGCGACAACGATTGCAGCCAACGCGTCAACCACCGAGGCAGAGACAACCGGAGTCACGACTGTTGTAGCGAATGAGATTTTGGCATCAGCTGGTAGTACCACCGTATATGGAATACCAACAACAAGCGTAACCAACGAGACAACCACCGAGGCAGGGACAACCGGAGCCACGACTGTTGTAGCGAATGAGACATTGGCAGCATCGAGTGTAACCAATGCGGCAACAGTAGCATTGACATCGCCAACCTCATCAACGTCTACTTCAACGACGTCGACGACCACAACGACAACTGCGCTTGGAAATTTGATGTCCACTGGTAAGTTGTAGCTAACGATTGGTTTTTTCATGAATGCTTATTGGCTGGTTTTTTGTAGTTTTCAATGTTGACAACTCTTCAACGTTTGATCCAAATAACAGCTCCGACATAGAGAACATTTTGCAAAGTTTATCTAATATTATTAATCTGGGGTTTGCATGTTTAAGCAACCCGTCAGCTTTTTCAGGATGCTCAGCATCGCGACAAAGTAAAAGTGGTCCACCTCGGGACTATCTTGCTAGCCCAGGAAACCCGGCCATTGCAACAATACGTGACGTACGTGACTGCGTCATCGGTTATGGTCGGGTGTAGCTTTGTTTTCTGTTTTGTTTCAGGCTTCTGCTTTGTTCAAAGTGGCTCTTGGAAACCAATATAGGATATATTATAGTGTAATTCAGATAAGTACAAATGCGCTGGTACTAGCGAGTAGTGTTCAAGCGGCCACTGCAACAGTACCGCAACAGCAAATAGTACTGATGTTTGGTTATACGTTTGTTGGTGATTTTGTCCAAAGTACCAGTGTTTCGACTGTAACATCAATTTCAACAACTGATGGCAAATTATGGATTGTAGGTGCTGTTTTGGGACCCGTATTTTTCTTGGGATTGATAATCTGTATAACTGTTATCTGTTGCGCTAAATCCAAACGACGTGGAAACTATCAATACTCTGCTGAAGTATATTCTGAAAATTAGTTTGATTTCTCATCATGGTACTGTTCATATGTTAGGTTATGTACAATGTGCCGGAAACATGGACGCGAGAAATAGTAAGTCATTTTAAAAACAACATACATCACAAAAAACATTCATTGACAGCGAAAGTCGATTCACTGTACCCTAGACTGGCAGTGCTCACCAGGGGAAACGTATAGTTTGGGAAGAAAGTGGTTTGCTTGTGCCAGGAGTGTGTGCTGAAATTTCCGAACCGATCAGCCGATAAGCTGAGGAGAGTCGTGTAAATGGGTGATAATACTTGAAACTGGGGACGAATTAGACGAAAACGATAAATATCTAAGGAAAGGCATTAAAATAAAAGCACGCAAAGTGAAGACGAGCAGGAGTTGGGCTCCGCCTCCATAGCTAATATAATTCATGCCTGAAAAATCACATCATAGTCAAGGGGACTTAAAATTCCGAAGGTTGATTAGTTCGCCCCTCCATCGGCTACGTCACTAGAACAGACTATTTTGCGTGACCTCGTCCTTCATTCACCTGTCGTTTGTGTCATTTTCTTATGATCATTTGTAGCATGGAAACGGTCAGGCGTGCTATAAAAATGGTTGTTTGTGTCAGGTTCAATATTACCGAGGTGGACAGACAAAAGCAGACGAATTACGGTTTCTAGGACCTATCCTTTTAGTCTCGGGAATATACCTTTTTCATTTGAATAGAACTCTCGGAGTAGCTTAAAAGAATTTATAAAAGAACAAGAAAAAAATGACCTAATCATATTTGAATATTTACCCCAACTCAAATTTTATTCGATAATATGTCACCATTGTCAAATCGAGCACCATCTTTGAATCGAAAAATACGTCAACTAATATCCCACCGTATTATTTGTCATTTGGTATACCGAGGCAAGAAATATACTGTGCAAATGGCGTTGAACATTGTAAAAATAAAACTCACAGAAAAGAGAAATTTAGTGTAGATTAAAATTGTATTTTATCATCAAATAACTGAATTATCTTTTAGCAACACTATGCTGATCCATCAGTCCATTCCAATCACTTTCATAGTTCATTTTCGCCACGCACAACATCACCAAGTAAGTAAAATCAAGTAATATAATGATTTTTTTTATTCAAAATAGTATCAATGATTTCAGCATGATTCGAGTTTGAATATAATTTCATTATTTTGATATTCTTTTTCGGTTTGAACACTGTTTTCTTTTATAATAAATCGTTCTATTCAAGATCAGTATATTATTCCAGTTTTCGAATCAAATTTTTCAAATGCATCTATTCAAGCAATTAATAGAATGAATATGTATGAACAAGCTCCAATACAACGTGCAACACGTCGTACACCAACAGAATCCGAAATTGCAACTGGTCGAACAAGATTACATCATTTATTAGATAATATAATTGATCAAGGTGTACTAGATCAATCATATACAGGTGATTTAGTTTATTTTGAAAAAAAATGAAATGACTCTTGTTTTTTTAATTTTATATATTTACTGCAACAGATATTCGATATATATGACCCGTGAGCACAGCAAATCATTCTACGACTATTTGCTCAATTCTCCAAAGCAAGATCGATTACAATATACTAAAACGGTCTTCAATTGTGTTGAATAGTATTTTACAATGTATTTTATAATAACATCTTATGTCTGCGTGCTCGTTCTTTAAAATCCTCCTAGTAAATTAGCTCATTCGTGTAGTATCGTGGCTTCTATTCAAGTAGTAGTCAGGTGTTTAAAATTGAATTTTATGTTTCTTTATATAAGAAAGTATCTCGTTTCGTTGAATGAACCGCAGCATTGTCGTGATAAATATCCATTTTTCGTTCTCTATGAACAGGAAACAAATGAGGAATCTCATATTCAATAAAGTGTTCAATTAAATGCAAAATATAGTATCTACTAGTGATTGTTGAGCCGTATTTAGTAAATTATAACTGATTTTTGCCATGTATACTGACATCGACTCAAACCATCCCAACCACAATATCTAAATGATTTCATTCACCTAGTTTAAGCTGCTTTCCTAAATCGTTGCTTCTGATGTAATAACTGTATTCAACACATAGATTTACACCATGCTTGAATGATGATTACATACTGTAACGATAAATAAGACTCTGTTGAGTTTATATCGTATTGACAAACTGGATAGAGGTGGAGTAGCTTACAGCCACTCATGGCAATGATGTTTATTCGCTTCTTCACATATCCAGAGTGTAACAACTTCATACATAACACACGTATATATAGGAGAGAGATAGAAAAGAGACAGGAGAGAGATATATTATAATAATGGAAAGAGAATAGAAGGAAGAGGAAGGAGAATCATCGAAGCGTGCCATCAATATCGGCACAGAAAGCATAGAAATGAATTTCAAATTACACAATTCAAATGATAAGACAGTATTTTATCACTATAAAGCAATAAAATAAAGCATTGGCACTAAAACAAAATCTTATTTGCACCTAAATAAATATTAGATTTGGATAATATTTTAAAATATTTCAAAATAAATTACAATTACTATCAATACCAATAGGAAGCAATTATTTTACATTTTCAAATTGTTCTTATGGATTCTCATCAAAATTCATTCGTGAATTACTACTATTTAAGATTTCTTTAGTCATTGCATTTTTGTTGCTTTTTTCAAGTTAATAAATGAGTTATTTGTATTTAGTTGATAAAAATTATAATTTTCAATAAAACGTAAACTAAATAAACAGATCAATATAATAACTGAGTTTCAACATTCACTTGAATGTTTTCAGAGCGACGGTAGCAATGCAATCAAAACTTATTCTTCTAAGTTAATATCCTTTAATGATTTCTTTTGGCATTTAAGAATCGGCACGTCTAATAAACTATAGTTTATATATTCATATGTATTTCAGAGTGTATAAGCAGCTTTGTCGTCATTGTATTATCAACATGTGCAAATGCTACAGCGCCAGTAGTTCTCTTTGTATATGTTGGCGTGTTTACCAATGGTCAATAGTATACAATGCAGTTTCATTCATTCGATGCATCTTTGTTTAATCTCTATAAATAAAACGACTATTTTCTTGTTTGTACTATCAAAATAAAATGTGTTTTGCGAAAGTAAATTAATATATTAGTAAAACATTTACTTTAGATTAAGATAAAGTCTTTTGATCGGGAAACCTGTATCGTTGATCATATTAAATCAAAATATGAGCGCCAATTCACAAAGGCATAGCATAAAAAGAGGAAAAAAGTAGAACTTTATTCAAAAACGATTCAGCATATTTTAAAAAGTGAGAACACATTTAAGCCGAATAAAAAAAGGAAATCATCTTTGTCAACAGTTCTTTGATAAACTCACGAATACCACTGAAACATTTTGAATTCTTTTTTTTAGAACCAGCACCCACAAGAACAATTACCAGAAGAGCGAATACAACAGTTAGAAGCACTAGTGCGACCACAAGCGGACACGATCGCTGAGGTACAAAAATCCAACAACGCATGGCAGCATATATGCAAGGAATTGCACTCTACCATAAATGTGTTGCAAAATAAAATGAAGAAACTTGAAGATGATTTAACTCGCGCGAAAGATGCTGGATGGGTACATAGCGACTCCAGTAATTCGCCACCTTTGATGAAAAAATTAATTATGTTCTTCAAAACGAAAACTGTTAAGGTGTATTGGCTCTAATTCATTGCATTCTATCCCAATTATGGATGTCTTGTACTTCTGTTAATGATATGTAAAGAAAAATGTTTAATAAAAATAAATTGAAACTGATCTTTTGCTGATGCGCAACTGTCTGTATTTCAATATGATTAGCTTATTAGAATGTACTAGAGAGTATTTAACCCGCTAACATTTTTTATACCTTTAGAACATCCTTCACTTTGCTCAGTTACAAATTAAAGAATATACTTAACTATTATAAAGGGATACAAAAAAGACTGCACTGTTATACACACAGTCGTAATGATTATATATAAACAAATAGTATTCTACAGAAAAATATTGTTTATACCGTGTGAATGTGAAGATAGATTATTTTTTTCTTTTCAGTGTTTCGAGACATCTATTGAAGTGCACATTTATCGAGGGAAAATATTTAAGAAAAATTGAAACCTACTTCTATAATTTAGATTGTTTTTGTTAGTTTAATTACTTGATAGCTGCTGATATAGTTATTTGCATAAAGTATGATTTGATTCATAAATAAAAAAACATCAAGAACTCAATCAGACCTTAAAGTAGTTTAATTTCATTACATCGTCGTCTACTTTAATCTGATAATCAATGCAAAGAACACTTTGAAAATTTTATTTGCAAGGTGCCTCATAAGTTATAGATGATTTAGATATTCTAATACAATGATGGAATATTTCATCAAGTGGTACTTTTTGACTATTTATTGATCTGGAAGAGTACTTGCGAAGAAACTTGCACCGAGTACTTTTGTGAGGATAGAAGTAGTTGCAAGTTGCAACACAGAAAGTATATAGTTTCTCTTTTTCTTATAGGTGAAGGTGCGCTACTCAGGTTGATCAAAACGGACTCGTTTGCTGTCTTTTTATCGACGGTAAACGATGTCAAAACGGTATATTTACGGCAGCAAATAGGCCGTATTTGCCCGTAATACCTGGCACAGATACGGCACCGTAAACGGGACTGAATTTTCATGGTTTACGTCTGTTTGTGCTCCGTAATTTCATGGTCACACGGTCCGTATTACTGCGCCAGATATTACGGCAAACTTTCGCCCGTAAAATAGTCGTAAAGTAACCGTAAACGATGGTATACGAATCTTACTGTTAGACCTGGGTAGGTCTCAGAAAATCTGTTTCATTTGTAAAAACTAGTTCTCTCATTTTGCACAAGCTTTTCCACCAACTTAGGTTACTACGTGCGAATATGCGTGCTGCAGTTTGCATCCGACTTCTGTCAATTCGCATCAAACTTCTCGAATCTTTATATCGGTACTGCTTTCAAGGCAATATTTTGAAATCTTTAGAGAATGACATTTGAAATATATTTTTGCTCATGACTACCTTAAAGCGAACTTGTTACAGTTTTTGAACTTTTCCGAGTGTATTTCCAAATAGATACTGATTTATGCATAGATTATTTTCTAGAAATGATCTTCGTGTCAATAGATTTAACTTTAGATTACAGTATTGCCAGTTCGTATTCGCCTCCGAATCTGAACTTACGCTCAGTGCGAGATTTAACCTTTTATCAACTATTATCTTTTTCAACGGAAGCTAATACAGACAACCATAGAATTAAATCGCTTTATTTGATTCTTGAACTTGAATTTAATCTCCGTGAAACCAGATGATGGTAAAATCTCAAATCTTCTCTTCTCACAGAATACATTCGTTCTCTAGATTGATACTCTTATTCTGTTCATTATTGTGCAATGATAATCTCCATGTGTTATCAAGCATATTATGTTTGGCTTAGATATTTAATTATTGTACAGGCAGAAGAAGACAAAAAAATACTTTGACTGTTATAATGTAGATTCTTCTCAAAAGCTCTCTTTGATGTCCTTCTAAATAAATTATAAAACTCAAATAAAATTTATCTGAGATGCCAAAGTAATGCACTTTAGCGTGAAGCCAATTGATCTCACGCAATATCTGTATTCTATTAAACAATAATAAATGTTTAAAACACCATCTATATAAAGTTTTCATTTTTCTTAATTTTATAAATCTGTGTAAATCTCTCCTTCTGGTTAATGTGTCCTACAAGATCACTGTCTTCACATAGCTTATATTTGTGATCAGAACCATCATTTTCTGGTGCAAAAAGGAACTGTTTCTCTTTTAAATTACATTTGCGTAGGTGACCTGGCGATCTCATGAAGGACCTGTCAATACTCAATCTTCATGATGGAAATGAGATGGAAATATATCAATATATAGAGAAATGAATGGATAGAGCATGTAAAGAAAACAGCTAAAAATAAAATCAAAATAATAAAGAAGGAAAAAACTAACCTGTGTAGCTATTACTACTAAAGTAAATATAATCAGAAATTATCTCGACGGAAAATGAAAGAAAAAGAAGCAAAATAAGATGGCCAGAAGAGAAAGTTGTCAGCTTTTATTAGAGAATGGATCGATATATTGAACGAATGGTAGTATTATAAAACCGTCAGAAGGCTATGAGAAACCATATGATGGGAAATTTGAATTTACTACAAATTCACTTTCCATAAAAGAAAATGAATTTGTGGCAAAATGGTTATATACATGTACAAGGCGAGCATGGTGAGGGGACGGAGACAACGTGTGTTGGGGGAGCACACTTTTCCCTCTGTCTCCTCTCTTATTCCCTCTCTTTCTACAAGAGAGATTTGACACCTGCAACTGTTATACCGCTATACCACAACACCATTATACCGCTACCCAACTATACTACTATAACACTAGCGGTATACCGGTATAAGCATTTTGAATTTACCATAAATTCAAATTCCCCCACCAACTCCCATTATAACAACTTAACGAGGACCACGTTATCTACAGCAACTCTTTTTGACAATGTTAGCCCTTCTATAATGAACTGTTAACGTTATGCAACTGAGTCTTGCTTGTAAATAGATAACTTGATTTTTTCTTTTTTCTCAAGTATAAGATGGACTTCGCCAAAGTTCATACCCAGGTCGAACATTCCGGCCACCGGATCCCGTAGGATACTCCAGGGAATATGCGGGAAAGTGCCGGGGATGGCGTAGTGGTTCTATGCATCTGACTCTTAGTCAGATAGGAGATGGTTCGATTCCTTCCCCCGGCTCGGTGTCTTCGGAGTCAAGATATACGGTATCGGAAGAATAAACAAAAGGAAGAACAGCAATGCACGCCAACCGCGTCATCACTGCCTCGATTTCGATTTTCGTTCTATTCGTTTTCTCTTCCTTGTCATTCTTTCTCTGTTTGTTATCGTAGTCCTATCTGTTGACTTGTTTCGTAAGCGTCCGCAAAAAATTGTACAAAAATCACAAAAAAATGTATGGATGTCACGAATAAAATTCAGCGTAATTAAAAAAAAACAATATGCGGGAAAGTCACCATATCCTGCAGGAAAACACGGGAAATCGTTGGAACATGGAAGCAGTATTCCGGTCAAAAATACGGTCGGACTTTTTCGGCGAATTCCTGCCAAGTTCTGGTGCTTTCCGGTAGGAATTGATCGGAAATCACCGGAAAAATTTCCAACCGGAATACTGCTTCCACAAAATCAACGGAACTACCCGGAACCAGCCGTTTCCAAGCCGGACTGTTCGACCTGGGTATTAGTAGCAGTTACAAAAGTTTTTTCAAATTGCTTCATTCACATTCATTACTGAAGTGAGCAAAACAATCATTATAGATTCAGTCATACCTTCAGAAAATGTTTTTCCTTCAACGCTTCATCTTTTACAAGCCAGTAGAACTTAGAAAGAGATTACATTCTTCCGAAAATCTTTGTAGTTGGTGATGGTTTTCACACTTTCATCTCGTTATCAGCGTCCTCGAGGAAGAGGTTCACATCATATTTTCGATGTCTTCTGCGTCTGGCAGTTTTCTTTGTGTAAAATATTGTCTAATGGTTGGAATTTTTCCTTAACTAAAAAATCTTTCTAATGTGAAACATTTTATTTTCGTTAATATTTAAATTAGAAAAAGAAGAGAAGAAAGCTTTTACACTTTAAAAGAATATTGATTTGTTTTCTTAAATCGTTTCAATTCTGATAAAAGAAGGTCGATCAGTATGATTAATAAGCAAACAATTTCCTGGATAAAACTGAATATCTTGATAATCATTTGATATAAGATCTTTATTTTTTTTTTATCAATGACAACATATAAATTAAATTGAACATCATTTTTTAACTGTAATGAAATAATCGACGTACAAATGTTTTTAATTTTGCTATTGTCATTGATAATGAAATTTTCTTTTCGCTTTTTATTTCGTTTGCATCACCAAATTCAAATATTATTTTTAATAAATATGGAAGAATACAAAGACCTTTTCTTGATTGCTAAAATAAATATTATTTATATTTATTATTTTTTAAATAAAAATCCTGTTAATTAATAAAATTTAGATATTTATTTTTCTATTTGAACGATGATTAAATATATAGATTATTTGTCTTTTAATCAATGATAATGAGGCTTTTTTTCTGAGTGTTTTACTGAAAAATCTTTAAAATCTTTTAATTATGAATCGATTTTTAGACTTGATGCATAGTAATTATTTATGATAACCTCTAAAGAATCCTTTTAAAATCTTCGTTAGGTGAGAAGTAATTTTCTTTGCTCGTTCCAAAGTGCCCTTATATATTAATCAGTATTTATTTGTAAGTTTTTTTTTACTGAATTGACCAAAGAGTTTACATAGAAATGTTTAAATTGGCAATAATAACTTATCAAATTGAAGTCTATCGATCAAAATACTTTTATAAAACCATATTAGCAAAAACGCCTTTCCTTCATAAAATATATCCATAAATTTTCAAAATAAAAATTTGTTGTGCTTTTTTTTTAATTACTCAAATTAATTTAAAAAAGAATCTCATATTATTTATATATCAAAGACAAACTATCTCTATTTATAATATAAAAAGAAAATTAATTTAAACCTGATTTGTAATTATTCGGTTTCAGAGGTTCGCCATGTTTTTCAATTAGCAATTTATATTCTCTATGTGGATTAATAACGTCTAATTTTTGATCAAAATAATCTTTTGCATAACGTTGTAAATAATCGATTTCAGTTCCACGTCTTTCATTACGACTAATTAATACTCGATTTCAATGTGTTAAATTTGGTAAACGTGCAATTGTTTCTTGTTTTGCAGTTTCACTTTCATTTTGATTTGACGGATAAATTGAATTTTGAAGAACACTTACTGATGGCGTAGATGATAATTCATTTATTGATTCAAATGATGATATTTTATTATGAGACATATAAAGAAATTTTAATGATGGAAACATTTTATTCGATTCTTCTAAAATATATTTGAAATTAAAAGTAATTTTTAAGTATTGTAAATAAAAGAAAGGAAACTTTGTTTTTTTGTTTTGACTTGATCAATTCCACAGCTATTAATAATTAATTCTTGAAGAAGTTTAAGTTTTTTTAATCGATTAATAAATGGATCCCAATATTTTAATGTTGGATTATCAGATAATGATAAATTTGTGGAGTTTTTAATGTGACCAACAAATATATTTCTGATATAAAACTTAAAGAATTTAAATCTAAATGAATATTTATGATATTTGGAAAGTATTTTCAAATATTTTCAAATAAATCACAATCACAATCACAATCACAATCATAATCCATATCAATAAGAACTAATTATTTTATATCGTCAAATTGTTCTGACGGATTCTCATCATAATTCATTCGTGAATTACTAACATCTAAGATTCCTTTAGTCATTGCAGTTTTTGTTGCTTTTTCCCAAGTTAGTAGATGAATTATTCATACTTAGTTCATGAAATTTCTCAGTGAGAAATTCTCACATTCAATAGTTAAGTAAACTAGATAAACATATTAATAATAACAATTCGGTTCCAGCGGTGTAACCAGGATTTTAGGGCCAATGGGTAAACTTCTCTTGTGTCGAAAAAAACGATGGGCGAAATGAGCAAGGTTTTTATTGATGGACCAAAACGTTTTGGCCCAACAAAGCATTAATGACGTATAAAGAAAACATGCACAAGTTAATGCTGAGGATTCTTCCAATATGTATCTGTGCAGCACACGTGGACATTTTCCCTACGAACTATGTCATTTCACATATCTTGATTTTTTTCCTTTATGTTTTCCCATATACATCATTCGATTTTTCTTTTCTCGTGTCTATGCGTCACTCTATATGTGTAAGTATCTATACACATATATGTGTTCGTGTGCGTTTTCTTCGATCTATCCTTCTCTATCTTTACATGGCCAGTGTTTTCTCAATAAAACCGAACTCTTATTCACCCAAACTTAGAATTAAAATCAGGGATGCCAGATTTTCTTTCCTTTCTTAATCTTTTGTAGTTTTTGAATTTTGCAAACACTGACGAATGCTTTAATATATCAGTACATGGTTGCGTTGCTGAACTTAAGAATGAATGCTAATTCTTTTTGAACAGTTTTGTAAACATATTTTGGCTCAAAAACATTTATGAAAGGAATTTCAAACAAAGGAAAACTTGAAAAATAATATAGAATTTATGTTCTATAATCTTTATTATTTTTCGTAAGATGTTTTTATCTGCACAGTTTATGTATGATTTTTTGCGCATATTGTTTTGTAAAGAGAGTTTTTGACTTCGTAAAAAAATCCGACGTTCGGTGTCTTTAGCTAGTTGTTTTTGTATTAACAAACAATTGAAGGCCATGTAACTGGAAATTAAGGAGATTGTTCATAGTTGAATCAAATGAATGCTCTCACTCGCATACCAACTAGTTTAAAACATGAGGCGCCAATAGCCTATACAGACCAAAATGTTTAAATTTCAAAATATTTACTGTTTATCATGTGTCATTACTACGAAAGTTCATTGACCCTTCGTTTTCTTTTTTCGTCATGGTTGGATGAAACACAACTATTTACATAAGGAGAAACAATATCATGCATATTCAACAGCAGTTTGACAGCAACTAGAATATTTTGTTTATTACCCTTATATTTAAAAACATGTTGTCTTCGACTTCGTAAAATTTGCTTTTTAATATGCGTGAGATTGTTTTTTCTTATGTAAATGGTAGTGCTCCATCCAATCATGGCCAATAAAAGAAAACTATACGCGTTGATGAAATTTCGTAGTGCGGGCATACAATAAACTGTATATTTCTTGAAACTCGAATATCTCGGTCTGTGTACGCTAGTGGCAGCTCATATTTTTAACTAGTTAGTTTGACAGTGAGAGCATTCATTTGATCCTACTATAATCTATCTTCTTAACCTAGAGTACACGATCTTTTACTCTAAGCTATATAATGTTTGTATTGTCTTTCTTCACTATGAAATACTTTTGGAAATAAAGTATGAGTCGATAAAAAAGATAAATAAAGCATTTTGCGCAAGTAATTATGTTAACGTGACAGCCATTGGTTTGCAAAAAGTTACTCTTTCTGACTATAGATCCGATTTTGGAGAAAAAATTCTGATTTTTAAAAATTTTGAAAACAAGAATTTCTGATTTTTAAGTTTTCATCTGGTAACCCTGGTTAAAATACCAGAAACGTTTGTTTTCTCCTTATTTTCTAAATTTTTCACAGAAAGAACAAGCAAGAAGCGCATGTGTGGTTCAGACGGAAGAAAAATAATAGAATTACTATCTAATTCAAAAATGAATAAACAACTCTGAAAAAGTAAAATTGCAATGGGCAAACACTTACTAATAAAAGTTAAAATGGGCAAATCTCCAAATGAAATGGGCAATTGCCCATTTGCCCCTCCCTTGGCTACGCCGCTGCGCGGTTCTAATGTTTGCATATAGTATTCAAATCTATATGAATATAAAATATATATGTGTTACCTGCGACATCTATACAGAACCTTTTTAATATATTAATTTTTTTATTTTCTTTTATTTTCTCATTTCTTTCTTTCGTATTGTTTTATGACCGATTGTCAATTTGATCTGCTTATTTTTTAGTATCGTAACTATGGGTTTACCAATGGTAAAACCGAGCTCAAATCCAAATAATATTGTTTATCGAATAGATAATCATCTCAAATAACATGATGATTAAATATGTGCTCCGGAAACTCTTATCGAATATGATATTTCAACTAATCGTTTAGATAAAATTCTTTATATTTGTCAAAACTTGGTCATACACATATGGGACTAACAGTAGATGAATAGAGATTCTTCTTCAAACAATATTATAACTAAGTTAGTGCAAGAGGTGAAAAAATAAACTGCTATCATTTTATCAATATATTATATTTCTTTTTTTTTCTAGAATGAAGATATTGTTTTAGTACCTCTCCTTTCATCGAATCAACAAGTAAATATAGAAAAAGTTTTAATTGATTAGTCACTAATGGATAGATAATACGTTTTTGCTCTATACTTTTACTGTTAGTCAACTGACGATTTATTGGTTAGTGAACATAATTTACAAGATTCCCAATCATTTTGTTCTATGTATATTTCGAGAATGATAAGGTTTCGTAAGTGTCCCTAAACAATGACTAATTTCACTCTTTAAAAAAAATTAGTTCTATATTAATCCCACGTGTGCAGTTATTTTCTACTTTAACAAACATATGAATAAAAAAAGACAAAAGTTACTTTTGTATCTTAATAGGCAGTCCAATGAGTCTACGATCATCTCGTGCGTGTTGTTTTGAAGCATTGAAAAGTATTCCGGTAGTTTTTATTCTTTCCATTGTCGCATGGTCTTATTATGCATATGTTGTACAAATGTGTATCAGTAAGTTTGCATTTTCATTAAAAGAGGTTTTATTCGATCTTATTTTATTTCTAGTAACTATTGACAATATTCCAAAAAAAGGTAAGGAAAATAGCGGGCAGGTCTGAATTGATATTTAGATGAAAGATTTCATCAAATCATAGATTTTATCGAACAAGTTTTATTTCTCGAAAAATCATTCAACTGCAAGTTTTCTTGCTCATGTATATCACATTTCACTTAATTTGATGACCTATTTCATCATATATAACCAGTAGTCGTTTTAAAACAAGAATATTTTTTGAAATTAATAACTACTTTGAAAAAAATGATTTGATTTTTGTTTAGTTATATATTTATTTATTTATCATCCATTATTATTTCTCTTCCTATGGTCTTATTATCAAACAATGTTTAAACCGTTAGCTGGGCCACCTGGCAAAGTAAAATTATGCGGAGAAATTTATTTTCATTGTTTAATTTCGTTAATTTTTTCTTTTATTATAGTTTTATGTTGGTGAAGCAGAAGGTGAACGTATAGCAACAGCACAAACATTAGATGAACGACGTATGACTCTTCTTCGTTTTTGTCGACGTGCGAATTTACCTGTACTAACACGACATTTTGATGGAAGTAAGTTTAACTAATAATTTTAATTACCAATCTACATATTCGATGTAAAAACACATTCAGGTATTCGCTATTGCTTTTTATGTCGATGTATAAAACCAGATCGAGCTCATCATTGTTCTATATGCGGAAAATGCGTTCTTAGATATGATCATCATTGCCCATGGTGAGAATTTTATTAAAGTCAAAAGAACTGATTTGATTTGATTTTTCTTTAATTTTTCAGGACGAATAGTTGTGTTTCATATGCAAATTATAAATTCTTTGTGTTATTTCTCGGATGGGCATTATTATTTTGTAGTTACGTTGCAGCTACTTCGTTAGAATATTTTATTGTCTTTTGGCAGGTAATTTTGTCGCTAATTTTTTTTTCTTTTGGTACTCATCTATACACTAATTATTTTTAATCGAATTCAGGGTATTGCAAATGCTCGAGGGGTATGTTCAATTTTACACAACTATTAAAGAAACAATTGGTTTTTTAAAATTTAGGATGGAGGCGATTCAACATCCCCAGGTGGAAAATTTCATTTACTTTTTCTGTTTTTCGCTTCGATCATGTTTGCCATTAGTGTATCATCTTTATTTTTCTATCATTTATATTTAAGTGGAAAAAATCGAACTACACTTGGTAAATAAACAATTTTTGCTTTTGTTCACTTTATAGCTAATTGATACGATTAGAATCATTCCGAGCACCAATATTTTCTGATGGACCACAGAAAGATGGTTTCAACTTAGGATACAAACAGAATTTTCAAGAAGTATTTGGAAAAACTTTACTCTCTGCAATAATACCAATATGGACAACGTGAGATTGAAATTTAGAAAAAATTTTTAATTTAAAAAAAATTTACTAAATAGACGAGGTGACGGAGTTCATTATCAAGTAAATAGTTTACTTCTTGGTGGTTTGCAACAACAACAACAATTTGGTGGTGTAAGGTATGTCTTGCAGAGTTTTCCATTATTATTATTATTATTTTAGTTTTACAATAAATAAATAATATAGGATTTCGTTGGAGAACGAAAATATTCAAAATTGATTCATAATGAAACAATATTGAAGTATAAATGATACGAGACTAGAAATAGTTTAAAATAGTTTTATTATTGAGCTGATTTAGTGTCTAACCGATGAAATAACAGCTAAACAATAGAATGAGATATGTATTATTGTCAACTTTCATGAAATGATTCATCAAGAATCTCAGTTTCAATAGCCTGGAGTTCCTTGATATAACACTTGTTGAATGACCTCATATTGTGCAGTTTTCGTCAGAAACTTGCAGGACCTTAACAGATCACGACATAAAAATCATTGACTTAATAAATGTATAAAATGTCAAAAGCCTTTTCATCTTCACAACTAACCGATCAATATTTTAGATAGAACTTATCTTTAAACGACTGAAGTTTTATTTATTAATCGACTACTGTAACATTTAAAGAATGTATCTCCTATGTTGACATGCACTAACTAATAAAATACTACAGAAATCCAAGAAGAAAATTTAAACATTGCAATGTGCTCCATACATTCTCGTATTTATTCGATCTACACAGTCGAAACTCTGAAAAACGAAAAATTAGTTCGATAAATATGAAAAATAATTTCAGCCTTCTACGAAAATAAAAGCTATAAACAAGTTTATTGATAAATTTTTGTTAATTACTATAGATCACTATGAAGAAGTTTTCAAGGAGAGTCAGACGAGAAACGACTCGTCGGGCACTCAGGTATACATATATTGTAGTCGCTGAATACAATTTGAACTGCTTGATGCAAACAAACGCATTTCAATACATTAAAAAACGAACTGTTTTACTTGTACTTCTTTACCAAGTGACGTTGGAGTTTTGTACTTTTTCCTTTATGCTGTTCCTAAACTTTGTAAAGAAATTACTCAGATTCAATTTTCGTAGAGGATTTGATGGTGTTTTTTCTGAACAAGAAATAAATAAGACATTAGATGAAAAGAAGAAAAATAACTTTAAATATAATTAAATTGGAATCAATACTGGAATTAATCCAATCCTTATTTTGGAATAGTGTTCAATTATACTTCAATATTTTCTGTCAAACAGTTGAGTAGTTTAAGAATCAGAAAAAGAAAACAACAGGATTCAATGTAAATAAAAATTAATGATGCTTTTTGTTCAGTGAATTCAAATCTATGAATATGAGCATGATAAGAGCTCCTTTTTTTAAATTTCTGTTTAGTAATGATGTTCTTGTGCCACTCGACACAACAGCGAATTCAATGAACAATGATCACAATTATCTGTTAAATGAAAATAACAAATAGGATAAATAAAAATGATTTCACTTTACTTTTTTTACTTCGTGAATAACTTATTGCGTATAAATTTCTTCTATTCTGATGTATATTTATTATCAAATTCTTTTTGTTGGCCTAATCGATCGAACTTTGGTTTGTCTTGTTTTAATTTGACGTTTTCGTTTTTTCTTCCTATGTTTTATCTACATATATAATTGGTTTATTGTTCGTCATAACATGAGTCCTTGGGAAAAAAGAGGAGTTTCTCAAATTTACGATTATTTCTAGATTAAACATCTGATCTAAATATGTCCAATACCAAAGGTAAAAAAGGCGAAAGTGGTAGTAAAAAAAAGCAAATTACAAATGAAGTTGTTACTCGGGAATATTCTGTTAATCTACATAAACGATTACATGGCGTGTATGTTTTATTTTGTTTTTGATTATTTAACGTTTTTTTCGTTATCTTTTCTTTAAAAGAGCATTTAAGAAGCGTGCACCACGAGCAATCAAAGAATTGAAAAAATTTGCTGAAAAAATGATGAAAACAGCTGATGTTCGTATTGATTCAAAATTAAACAAGGAAATTTGGTCACAAGGGATTAAGTTAGTTCTTGATCTTTTTCTTGTCAATTTATCTTGATCAATAAATCTCATTTAGTCATGTTCCATATCGCGTTCGAGTGCGATTAGCTCGTCAACGTAATGAAGATGAAGATTCACTACATAAACTCTATACATTGGTGACATTTGTTCGCGTACCTTCATTTAAAGGTTTTTTTATTAATTCGTTTGGAAAATCTTTTTTTTTCTATAACCGTCTGTTTCGTTTTAGGATTGCTCACTACCAATGTGGACAATGAATAAATATACAAAACATTGAATAACATCGATTAAGAATATAATCATTCTGTACCATTGTTTTGTTTAAATAAAGTTGAAAGAAGAAAACAAAAACGATTGACGAATGTTTTAACATTCAGTCTGAAAGAAAAGAAAATAATTGATATGTTTGAATCTGAAATTGTTTAATGATATCGACAATTGAATATATGTTGTATTTCTATCAATGTTCATATGGAAAATTTGCAAGATTTTATCACAGCTTAACTCATCCGTCTATAAAAATCAAAAAAGTTAATATTAGATTTCAAATGCTTATCCTAAAAATATAGAAACTATATAAAAAAAATTGAAAGTTTAAGAAAAACATAGAGTTGTACTTGTTAACTTAAAGCGTTCATTAATAATTCATGGTGATTTTTATATATTTGTTGATTGATGAATAAAAATTTATATCTTAACATTGATAAGAATCCGCACAATGATCAAATATGATCTTATTACAACAGATGTGATAGTCTGATGTCGGCATGAACTCCAGTCATGTTCATTAGATTATTACAATAACACAATATCAGATAAAATTGTTTATCTTTCCGATGTGGTTAAATGAAGACGAAATTGTTTTATGCCATAAAGTGCTTTATCTGAGGAAGGATATGTCAAGGAGGACAGAAAATTCCTCTTAATCAACTGAGATTGCTGAAAGAAGTAAACATTGAATCAGTATATTTAAATTAAAATATACCTAGTTTTTAGAACTTCGGTATGAAAGCCTCATAAGAGTGATTACGATTATTTCTGGTCTTTTAAAACTATAAGAAGTACACTTTTTAGCTGGGAGATCATTTTTATTAGGATTAGTATCAATACATAAGTCACAATTGCGAACTTTTCTAAAAGCCTTTTCGTGTTTCGAAACAGCAGGAGACCTTGAATGTTGCACTGCGTGTAGAAATTCAATACGTGTCAGATTGACTATTTGTTCTTTGAAGATAATTATTCGATAATCAATCATCTATAAAACAATTGTGTAATAAAAACTAGTTGATCAGTTGAATCGTATTTCTTACATATTTTCCAAATTGATTCTTCCATACCTTCTAGTAATTATTCTCGCAGTTGCTGCTTGAGAATGTTCTTTCTATACAATACGTGTATGAGATTTTAAGAAACTAGAAGAAGACTAGACTAACGTAAGATGATTAGTATCACGAATGATTTCAGTTGAAACAAAACGATAGAAAAAAAAATTTCGATTTTCCTTCTTTTTTGAGCTTTGTACCATATTGTTTTTGGTTTCTCACACATCGACAGTACAATAATCTAGATGGAGCGTATGCTGATCACTATAGAGAGTGGAGAGAAATACGATGAATCTTTCAGGAATAAATATTTATTGTTTACTGCTGTATAATATTTGCAGTTAATTAAACATTTCAGAATAAAAAAATGCGATTGCCATCATGTACCATATACGTTAGAAAATGATATCAACTAATAAGATCCATCAAGATGAAAAATATTTTGATAAGAATCCTGATTTGTGTCATGAATAGTTGACAATGTTCGAAACGACTGAAAATATTATTAAAAAGTTCCTTTAGTTCAACAATTGATGACCTAGGGCATAATAGTATTTTACTAAATTATCAACTCTGAAAGTTTTAGATAATGTATGAAATCCTTATGCAAAATGATCAATAAATAAAATTTTGTTTCTATAAATGAATCAGTTCATTATATTCATGTTCATCGTGCAAAGTCATATAATACGAAAATTTGGTGCCTTCAATTTACCTCTAATTAAGTCAACAATGACTGTTCACAATACAACTAAATTCACTGTTCATGGTAGAACCGAATCGAAAGGCATAAACTCTTATTCATTTCAAGTGAATATGATAAGAAGCATGTTAAGTAAGATGTTTTCTTCGAATTTTGTTCCTTTAGTTGAATTTAAAACAATAGAAGATTGCATTTTGTAAGTGTTACTTTCATTTTAAAATGCATATATCGAACGGAATTTCCAGTCATGTAAGAGTTTTCTGCAAGAGTTGTTTACGAAAAAATTTTCAAAAATGTCTTTCCACTAAAATTATTTAGCATGGAATCATTAAAAAATAGTTGCTATTATTTCCACAGCCAAAATATTGTACAGACAGAATGTTTTTAGAAGCTATTTTTCATTCAGCACAATCTTTAGAACAAATGATTATGCAAATTTGCTTACATGCGAATCAATATACATTGGTTAGTTTCTCTACATAAAAATGGCGAATTGTCACTTGTGACATTAGAAACAGACAACATAGAAACACATATATACCAGAAACAGTTTATGTCGAGTGTTCCGCAATGTTTGTAAAACTCTATAGTTTGAAAATCATAATATTTCAAGACGCATTGTCTGTTACACTTTACAGAATAGTTGCTACTGATTTAGTATAATTACAGAGGTTATGTTGCTCATTCTCTCGATTCTATATAATTTACTAAGAGATCATTTTTAGGAATGATGGCTTTTTCTCATCTATTGTTGATTTTTTTTGTTCAAAACAACAATGCCTTCTAGAAAATTCTCCCTTGGCCGAAACGAGTTTATTTTCGAATTATTTTTCACAAAAATCTATCTTTCTACTATCAACCTAACTAATGTAAATAGCCTAATGATTCAGGTTAGATAAGTATTAAAATACCGTTCAAGAGTCTATTTCCTCTTGCAGCAGCTCAGACAGACTATTGCTATTCGACAAGAGTGAATCATAATTGAACGCTTACACAAATATGTAAAAGGGTATTTCCTATTTCATCGAAGTACCACTAGTCAGCACTACCTCTTTAGGCACCTGATTACAGAATGAAAAAAATCTAGAGAAACTACATTAAAAAATCAATGGGAAATAATTAGAATAAAACAACCGAAATCGAAAAATTAGCTTGGGAACGTTAATATCAATGAGAAAATCGTTTTTTTTGACAAAACTAAATTATCTAGTAGATGAATCCATCAGATATTCTGATTTAGTATCGATAGTAGAACAGCTCTTCTAATTTGAATATGTGCTTTCTTTTTTTGTGACAATGATTGTTTTCTAAACGATTGTGTTAAAGGTTCACAGCGAATAAAAGGATCATATGCGCCTTACTGCCAACTCAAATCTGCTCAAACATAGACTCAATGTACTATTCTATGTTCTTGATCAACACACTCACCATAAATGCTTCTGAAACAAACAACAGGTTTTCTAGTTTTTTTCTTCAATTCAATGTTTTTATTTTGAAAGTCCATATCACTTCTTTTCGTAACCAACATATATGCTCAGAATTAGTACGCGAAACTGCATTATATGATATATTGAAAAAAGTATCTCATCACCAAAAACATTTTCTCGGCATACTACATACAAGTGTTTACCGAATTTCTTTTGCTGAAAAATATTTTGTAGCTTCAAGTGTTTTTTCTGCATGATATGTTATCAAATCTGACGAAAAAAGAGCTGCTTCTAAATATGATACAGTAGAACTTTGTAACTTATGGACATACTCAGTTCAATTCGGTTGAGTCACAAATCATAGGATTGTACATACAATCCGACAGGATATTTTCCAGAAAACTCAATGTTTTAATCCTTTTTTGTGGAAAACTATGTGCTTAATAAGTCATACTGCAAACATTTTAGAATTGCTGCCTATTTAAAAAGAAAAAACTATAGAAGTAAATGACTGAATTCATAATGAAATCAGACTCAATGCAAGACAGCTTCATCCATTTTTAGTTTAAAGTTAAGTCTCAGTAAGTTTGATGATTCAGTATGTATTCTCGTTCTAGTATTGATTCTTTTCTATTCCAGGTACACTTTAAGATAGTTTAGTAATGGGTAGACGCGATGAATATATATATATATATATATATATATATATTTCATTGATTTTATTTCGAGACACGGACGTAACCATATGGACGTAAACAAAAGAAAAGAAGAATAACATGTTTTTTTTATGGAAAAAGCACCATGCTTCGTTCTACATAAAGAGAAAACTAGAAAATACCAAACATTTTCATTCATTTGTCGTATCCTTCAGTCGGTTATATTACATGCATATATTTTATTTAAACTATCATCGAAATTAAGAACGGGCACAGCTAACTTTCCAACGATATTAATTTACTTTTCAGATAC